TCATAGATATAAGAAAGTGACTAACTGATACGAATTAAGGAAAGACCCGGGGGCAAGCTGTAAGAATGAAATATGGCCGAACAGGTCCGTACTATGCTCAGAATTTAATTATTTGGAGTTTTGTTAGGAAAGATACTAAACAATATTTATTTATTTAAGTATGTATTTATGTTTAAATTTAAAATAAAATTACAAATTATTTTTATTACCTACTTAAATTACTTAAAATAATTCACATAATATATCAGTATCACGATCGCTATTATCTCTTGTTCTAATTATTATTTGTTCTATATTATTTGCAATATTCATATACGATTGTTCTGCTTTTTCTATATGTTTAACAGAATTTGCCCAACTTTGTGGAGGGATGTTAAAAACTTCGGTTTCTATAAGTTTGAGGACATTGGAGTTAACACGGGGAAAAACATTGTTACGACGAATGGCAGATTTCAGTTGGTGCCAAACATGTTGAATGGTATTAAATATACAGTGACCTTTTAATTGCTTTTTGGTATAATTTTCGTGAAAATAAATGTCGTTATTATATGTATGTTATGTGTATTAGATGTAGTTTTGAGGAAGGGGATTTAGTCAACTGTCTACTGTGATAACTTGCATTGTCCATTACTATGATACTATTAGGAGGAATGTTTGGAACCAGTTTGTTTTTAAACCAACTATCAAATAAATCAGCGGTGATGTCTTCATGGTAACCCAGAGAAGAATCTTTAATATTTTTCGCAGACAGAGAAAGTCCATTTGAAATCCAACCATCTTTAGAGGCAACATGCGAAATAGTTATTCTTTTACCTCTTTTTGATAGCGTGTTTGTTTTACACTTATCAGTTGAATCAACCCCACCCTTTTCCGGGGTATCATAAGTGTCGAACCAGGTTTCATCCAAGTAAATAATTGGCATTTGTTGTTCTCTATAAATCCTAATTTTCTCTAGATCTTCCAGCCGCCATTTCCGAATTCTAAAAGATTCCATTAAAACTTGCCTTTTGTCAATTTTTTAAATATAAAACCCGATTTCATCTTTTTCAAGCCTCCTAATTAAGATATCTAATGTAGGCACGGTTTTGTTCCTCGTATAACTGGTAAAATTTACGTCGTATTATATCTTGATCACTTTCATCTACACTCGAGAAAATTTTTTTCCTCGCTGAAATGGGATTATTCACAATTTTCCATACAGTTGATGTTGGAATTTTCGTCAATGTGGCCGTTTCTTCTAAAGATGTTTGCTTGCTGGCACCACGTTCAATGAGAGTCAAATAAACATTGTTTATAGTGTTTTCTACATTTGGGAGGGAGCATCTCCTGAGATACACTAGACTCGCATATTTTGCATAATTCGCCCACGATTCAACACACGCTGTATTACACACGAGATAAGAATGATTACTAATAAACTTAAACTAAGTTCCAAACCAAAGAATATTAAACACAGGTAGGTATAAAACTATTTTCTATTACGGACCACAATTTTACGTGAATTTAAATTCCGAAACTTTATGTAATAATCTTGTTGCATTGTATGTTAATGACCACCCTTGGATAACCCCATTCAAAAGCAATTGGTCACTTTCTTATATCTATAAACAGACTATACCTAATTGGCAAACTATCATTTACACTTACATCAAGATCAATAGTTTAACTTTGGTCATGCTTCTCTATAAGGATTTGACTTCTGGAAGCGATCTTCAATAGATTAGAAGATTTTCGATATACGGAAAAACTCCACGCTGCTTCAGACAGATCAACTAGTGTCGCAACAGTTCTTTTTTTTTTCGGTTAGTTCGATTGAAACGAGACAAATCGAACACATTCGACTCGTATTGATAACCGAAAATCCGTTCCGACTGCGCCAATTAACTAGATGATGGTTGCCGATTTTAAAAATTAACTTTATTTTTAAATTACAAGTTTGCAGGATTGCAACTGACTGGGCGCTGCCCATATGTTGCGAAGCTTGAACACTCAGCAGGGTGTATAGTAACATAACTCTGAAGATATTTGAAAATAGTAGGTTGGAAAAATTAAAAGCGACTTTTTGGAGTGCTTATCAAGCAAAAGGGAGCTTTAATTATCGACGGATATCGTGCAAAAAAAAAACATAACCGGCACCACGTGACTTGTGAATAACGAATTCCGATGCCACAATTTCAATTCGTGAATAGGCGCACGTAGACGATTAACGGCAAAGCAACGTGAGTCGCGGCTTAAATTTAATTCTGTACTCGCTCGAAACTTAAAGCGTAACTCATTTGCGTGTCGGGTTTTTGTCGCTCCGAATGGATTCCGTTATACGACAATGGTGTTTTCAATTCCCATTGTAAATCGTATAGTTACGAATGCTTTTTGCTGGCGGGTCTGTATTATTCGAAACCCCCCGTTTTCGGATTTTGTTTAATTAAGAATTTGTTTTTAGTGATCGCGCAAGTTGGTAAATGATTTATGTACTAAATTAAAAAAAAGTCGTAGCTACTGAATAAAAAACAATTTTGCAAACCTTAATATTGAATATATATTGTACGACCAAAAATATAGTTTCTACATTTCATTTCTACATTAGGCGTTCGAAGTGTTAACCATTGCATTCTAAAAACTTTAAAATCCTTTGAAGTGGGCTGATGGTAAATACGACCAAAAATATAGTGCATTTATTGCTTTAACATTTCAAGTATTTTACAGAACCGTGACCGCAGACCCTTCATAAGAATACAGATAAATATTTATTAGAATCTTATAATTAAACATTTTTTAAGGGTTCCTGTTTTTTTAACACTTTAAAATGTGGCGACCGAGGAATGAAGCAGATGTTCCCCTGTTAGAAGAAGACATGGATAACAACGCAGAATTTGAAGACGAAGTGGAGATGGTAGTCGAACCTAATGACAATTTAGAAGTAGTTCTCAGCAAATAAATGCTAAACAAATTGTTTTGATGTTTACAATTTTATAAGAAATTAATAAGAGGAAGTAGGAGCAGCAATAAAAATAAGTGAACTACGAAGTAACAATGTATTTACTTTGTACTAATTTTGTGTATGCACATGTTTAAAGAATTGCTCGGCGAAAAAGATTAAAATGGTTACGGGTAAGGTTCTGCTAGGTAGGGTGTTCTACAAGCGGCTGCGGTTTTGGAGTAACACACAGTAGGCAAACTTAATGACGTGGTCGGTTGTAAAAACACTATAATTCTGATCCGAGTATACCCCCTCTGTATCATAAGTGCATGCAATTTTTTCAGTATCCGTTGAATTTCTACCGTTTTCCGTATGTTCGTACATTACGTTATGAAATCTCATCACAAACTGACGAAGTATTTGCCTTGCAAATTGCGAATCTTTAGAACAATGTAAGCTTCGTTATTTATCTTCTATTTTCTGTTTCGGGACCTGAGAGTATTAACTCTATTAACTATATTTATTTTATATCATTGGTTTCAATTCAAACTTAAATCAACAATTAAGGAGAAATTATTCTTAAACACAGACGACAGTTGCCAATGTGATAATTATACTTTTGTTTCATTAAAATTTTAATATTATTGATTATTTTATTGTGTCTAACAAAATTACAAAATATAAAAAAACGAGAGGTTTTAAAAGAAAAGAGTTTGTTTTGTTTACCAAAAGGTGTTTCAAAATATGCGTTATGTAAAGATTTTATAATTTGCCCCGTGCCTAAATATTTATGAGCCAAAATTAAAAAGAAAAAATAACGACACTTAAAAGTTTACCAAGTGTGAAAACCTTTTTTTTGCACCTGAGGTTATAATTACAACGGCAATTAAGGCCTTTAATTAAAATCTTTCATTTTGCAGAAATACGTCATTCTTTATTTCTTCCACGCGGCGTAGAAATTAGCTCTCGGTCGACAGTAGACGGGGAAATATTAAAACGATAACGCCGGGCACAACAGGAGGAAATTAATTTTCCAAGTTTGATGCCCGTATCGAGAGGGACCCGAATCGATACGTCCTACGTAGTAAGGGTGGTTAATTAATTTCTCTCGATTGTTTGCGAAATATCAAAAATCTAAAGATACATCTCAATAAGCTCCAATTTACTAAACTAAACTAAAATATCGTTTTGGCTCTACTACCATTTATTTATTTCTGAACTATTTCAAATATTCTAGCGGAGTCGATTGCTTAGTAAACTTTGCCAAAGGTTTCAATGGCTCTCGCGTCGATCCAAAATTCGGAACGTCCCTCGAAGCCAGGCTACAGGTGTGAAACCGACCTGGATACTTCAGACGACACTCGGACCTTCTCCGAGTGGGACAATAAATGTCCCACACGGAAAGCACTGCCGTGGAAGTCCATTTATTCAAACGCCAACTCGCCCGCGCCAGTTAATGAGCTTCTTGCGGAGTCGGTCCGTCGCCATTTTAGGTTTTATTTCCACATCTCACGCTAAGCAAGTCGAACGCGAACCGTATCTCCCTGAATTGTTCTCCCGTTTTTGTTTATCTCATCCTTAATGACTGACGAATCGCGGGATCGAGTCCGGAAAAGCGACCATTAATTCAGCTAACGAAGTTAATGATAAAAATTTACCGCCTGTTTTAATTGGTAAAGTAATTTGGACGATATTAAGTCCGGGCGCATTCCCGCGTGTAAAGTTTTAAATGAAAATGAAAGGGGCCTTTTTTCTAATGTTCTTTTCGATGCGCGGAATTCACAGAACTCAAGAATTATACACGGAAGCGTTGATATTTTGATATTGGGTGGTGGAAATATTCAAAACAAAGGAACTGTACCATACACCATAAACCTTCTCGTTGAACCAACGTTTCGTATAAAATCTGCCGTCTCCAAACACACTTCCTCACACTTTACGCCACACTGCTCGACTATATAGGTGTTAGTGGGTGCGTCTTCTGCATGGGAATGGGAAACGGTTTGCCGCCGTTCCCATTCTCCGAAATTCGAAACGGCGTAAACGGACACCGGACTTAAGCGTTCCCCAATTATGCTTGCAGAGAATTAACGCATTATTACAAACCGGTCGACACGGATTACATTTGCAGCAAGAGCAATTATTCGGGCATGCATCTGTGCAGCGATCTGCCTCCGTTTATTAACGGCACCATGGAATGTAACCTCACCGTTAGCGAGAAACGCATGCCTCAATACGCCAACGACGATCGGTTTTGCATAAATTGGCACCTGTACTACTCGACGTGTTCGGACAACAACCCCAACCCATTTCAAAACACCATATCGTTCGATAATATCGGGCTCGCTTGGATAGCCATTTTTTTGGTGAGTATGCTCATTCGCTTCGCTTAATTGGCGGCCGGGCGGGGTTTACAGTGTGGGGGAGGGGCCAGCCGGGCGGGTAGTGGGGATAGAAACGATTGCCGCCTCAACTACTTATCACTGTAAACCTTATAAAGTATTGATTATTAAATATAGAAATAAAAACCCTAATTATCAACTTCAAGGTCATATCGCTGGAAGGTTGGACCGAAATCATGTACTACGTCCAAGACGGTCACAGTTTCTGGGACTGGATATACTTCGTTTTACTCATAGTGGTGAGCCGCATTCGACAATCGGAAGCGATTCGGACGTTTTAAGGACGTTGGTCGCGTGTTCCAGATCGGTTCTTTCTTCATGATAAACCTCTGCCTGGTCGTAATCGCCACTCAGTTCTCCGAGACGAAGAAACGCGAAATGGAACGGATGCGTTTGGAACGCGCTAGGTTCCAAAGTAGCAGCACGCTCGCGTCTTCGACGAACAACAGCGAACCGAACAGCTGCTACGCGGAGATCGTCAAGTACATCGCTCACCTATGGAGACGGAGCAAACGAAGAATGCTGAAGAAGATTCGATTGTACAGGGTGCGAAGGGATCTCAGACGCGACCGAAAAATGATCGCAGGAGAGACGATAAGACTTAACTATAGCAGGAGACATCATCCGAACTGTCCGCGCGTCAGGCAAAATGTTAGTTTTGTAAGTGGTGACTTATTTAACTGTCGACGTCCGAATTTTCTATTCACTTCTCGATTTAAATCAAAAAGTTTTATGCGAGTCTTCGTCGGAAGTTTTCTCGTAGTCGAGGGAGGTTTCTGTCACGCAGAGATCGATCCTGCGAAGCTGAAAATAATTTTTCGTTTTCCCTCGAGGCGCGTAACTTTCACTCATTCAGAGCGAGACGTATTTCAAAATGCAGAGGGGTTTCAGATTGAGATGGGGTACTTCCACTCCTCGAGTTTGGTAATAATATATTTTGATATACCGGGTGGCCCATTAATAAAAGGCGCCGGCCATATCTCATTAACCGTTAGTCCTACAACTTAGAAAAAATAAAATTGTATGTAAATCGGCCAAGAGAAAAAGCTGGAAATTATTTTGCAGTTCATAAAATGGCCGCTAGAGGGGGTAACCTCTACTATACAAATATTTTTTTCTCTAAATTGTAGGACTAACGGTTCCTCAGGTATCGCCGGCGTCCTTTATTAAGTGGCCACCTGGTACAAAAAAATCTGCGTGACTTGTAGAAAGAATGTAAAAAAATATACGTTCGGAACAAAATTATTAAATAACTTTCAGCAGAGCAGCGTGCCGAGCACGAGGGCCGTATCAAGGACCAGTTCGCTGTGCCTAAGCGAACATGGCGCCACCGTCTCCAGAGACATTCACCACCATCACCGGAGTGAAGATCTCGAGATGAGCGTAGTCGGAGCGAAGAGACCCGGACTGCTGCGCGTGCCGTCCATGTCCAATCAGGACATCGCGTCGAACAATAATGACGTAAGGGCCTTTTGTAAGATAATGTGGCGAAGATTGATCTTGATTTAAACTACGTTGTTGGTTACTTGCTGCGATGTTTTCATTTTCAATTTTCAGGCAGGCCGATTCCTTGTTATAGCTCCAAATTATTTAACTGACTTCAGTAATGATTTTTAAAGAATAAATTTATGTGTCTTGTACTTGTTATTCTGTGAAGTTTCTGCTTCTTCATTTTTTCGGTGCGCCCAATTGTCAAAACCTTTAAAGCAACACAACAACTTCCAAGCTGAAAAGATGACTTTAATCAGGTTTTATAAGAATAACATTATAATAATTTACATTATAGTACAAGATCGTTCTTACATTCCTTATGCCTTGCTTTTTCATGTGGAGTGCAGCTGAGAAGCTGGACTGCTTTATCTAGTTTTATCTCTCTGATACAATTTCAATAGTCGTTCCTTCGTCAGCCAAAGGTCATACGCAGAAGTGTTGTATTTCTGATTAACATTTAAGACTAAAATTACTGGAATACAACAGTAGAGTCATACCCTTAATATATTTAGTTGCAGATCAAACGTTCTCAGCTCTTACGATAAGTGTATTTTATGCCCTGATTTAAACTGGAGTTCTTGTAGACAGCACGAGAGATGTAGGAATATTTTCGTTGGGATGGGATGTTCATTTTGTAATACGTTCGTCGCGAATTAGATCGCATAGGCTTAAACTCTCCAAATCAGCACAGGTTTGACACTAAGCATCGCAACTTATCTAATTTTCACGCGAGTTTCCCGTTAAAGTCGAAGAAGCTGATAAAGTAGTTAATTGTCGACGCGTTATTCGATGGTTTCCCTTTCGCGTTTCGGCGACGGCGACGTTTCCCTTTATTGTCTTCGTTAGTCAATGCCAACGAAGATCCGACGTTTATTGAGGGTCTCCGGGGGGGAAATTGCGCCGGAGGTTGATGAATTTATCCCCTCATCCCCAAACAACTGCTTGTCGCCTCTTTGATCCGTCGCCTTAATTAAACCCAATAAAAAATCCTGTCCGGTAAGCGTGTAGCTGACTTTGGTAATTGAGTCGGGTAGCTCAGGGGTGTGGCGTTTCGATGATAACGAAATCGAACCTTATGTATATACAAATAGGATTCCGTAATATAGACATGCTATTAAAGAACGCGATAGTGATCGAAAAAATACCACTCGCTCACAACTGAATATTATCCCATTAAATTCAATACTGTAAAAAAAATACAGTTTTTAAGCGCAATCAAGATATTTTGATGACATACATCATAGAGACTTTCAAACAGGTTATACAATGAAATTTTTAAAGCTCTTTTTGTCAACCTATAGTTATAAGTACAATACAAGTACAATAACTTGCCAAAAAGATGATTTTGACTATATCCTGTTAGAGATATTCAGAAGGAAAATCAAACATTTGTCCCAGAAAAATCGGTTTTAAGTTGATATCGGCTAGTGTGTTTATATTTGGGTAACAATAAGGGCCGAAGATGGTGATTTTGACTGGAATTTGATCAAAATTTACAAGAAAAGGTCACTATTTCCAACAGAAACTGAGCAGTTTTAGTCACAATTTGTCTCGGAAAATCCGCTTTTGACTGCCATATAATCGTAATCGACAACTATTCGACCCAAAAAGTTATGTTTTAGGCTGGTTGGATGCTGTTATCGTAACAATATAGGGCATGTGTTGTGTTCGATATCGAGAAAAAAAAACGAATGGTTGGAGTGAGATTGAACTAACGTAACGTCAATTTCCAGAGTCCGACAAATCTGCTATCGCCCACTTCCATACCCAACAACCGGCGCAGGTCGTCGGTAATGTTCAGTGACGTCATAGTCCTACACGGACGCGGACAGAACGGATCTCCACCCGCGTCGTCGACAAATTTGTTATCCTCGAACATCGACAAGAAAAACGTGTGCTCGAGTGAGAAAACCACCCAGGCAGGTAAGGCCGCCGGTTACCTAATTTTTTCCGTGTCGACGGCTTAAGGGCGAAAGTTGCTAAGGCAGCGGATTGTTTAAATTGAGTGCCTCATTTAACGTGGTGAAGTGGTTGCGTTCGCCAACCTCGTTATTATAATAAAAACGCTAAATTAAGCGTTTCGAGCTATTCTGGACTTTGGATAATATGGCGCGGCATGAAAAGAACTGATCAATATGTCAGCCGCCGTACAGAAGCGAAGAAATTGCTGATTTTTCTGTAAAATTTGAGCTTATTTTAAAAGGCTATTAACGAAAGATCCCTCTTTCATTTATACTTCTTGGACTCACTAAATTCGGCTCTTAATACCCAATCGCCTGCCTCTAGGGGTGCGCAGCGACATACAGCGCCCCTATGATGTACTTTCAGAGTCATTTCAGGATGTCAATGAACATTCGTAGTTTATCACACCACATAGCAGATACAGTTTAAAAATATTTAAATAATTTAATGCAAATTAACTATTTACATGTAAAAGTAGTAGTAGTAAAATTGCTGTTGAACCATCATATCTTATCTACTAGATGAGTAACATTATTGAAAACCCTATGATAGGTCACGGAAAAACCCCGCTTTAGCCCTTTTAAGGGACCTATTTCTAAATACGTAGCGTATATGTCGAGAATTCGCTTCTCATTACTGAGGAAACGGTTAAATAGAAAGACAGTTATTTCTTTTTTAATATAATTCGACGATCATCGCCGTGTTAAAAGCAAAGACGTTAGCGAACGATTTAAATTCGATATTAAGGGGGAGCTTAACAGAGGGGGACTTTTTTTGATGACAGATTTACTATTCGGATACTCGAACGTCCTCTCTTTCTGCGTCGTTGCTGAAATTTCTCATTTTTATGGATACAATTAAAGGTGTCGTCGGCGTCCCCCCCACCACCGCATTTTATCGTTAACTGTAAAAGAAGAAAAGATCGGGAATCGCTAGCAGATTGATTATATGGCCCGTCGTAAAAATTACAACCGTGATTATTGGCAGTAACATCGATGGCCGCGCCATAAACAGTAATTTTTCGCACCCGAATCGCCCATATATGACTTGTTTTATTTTTAAATAATTTTGTTGCCATCGGAAGGGAAAAGGCTCATGAATTCCAATATGAAAATATAAATTAAATAAATTTTAAAAAAAGTTTCCGCAAACACTTTTTTGTATATTTTTCGATTGTCATCGATATTTAGAAAATTTTCAATTTTGTGTCGCTACATGACAATCATTTTCTAATCGATAATATCGGAAATATCTCAAAACTCTAAGAAGCAACGGAGGAGGCACGGACGCCCATCTCAAAAATTAACCCAATTTTTTTTTTCGTTAAATACCAATATTAAATTTTTAAATCAATAAAAAAATAGTTACTAATCAGTAACGTTTTTTTTTTTTTAAATACGTTTTAATAAATAATTATAATAATATAACCGTAACAATAGTGTTTTTGTTGCCTTTTCCAAATGTCAATATTTCGAAACCTAAAATCATTATTTACAATATAATATTAATTGATTATTATTTTCTCAATTTTTCTTAATTTTATTCACACTTTTCACCAAGATGAATGAAAAATTGCAACGATACCGAAAGTTCTTGGACACTTACTTGAAAAAACATTTTCGACAAAATATTATCTTGATATCTAAAAAAAAAGAGATTCGGCTATATACATACACATATCGGTACATAACAAAAAAAATAATAATATACAAAAAGCAAATTGATCATTTCCTATGTCGCCATTTCAAAAATATTTTATCCGAATTTTCATAATTTTTCTTATCGAGTGTACGTAACATTTGGATTTTGTGATTTTTTTTATTTTCAAGGAATAATTAGGAATTATTTCATTTTGTTTTGTGTTAGTTTTGATTAATTATGTGTTAAAAAAGTTTCAACAGTAAAACTCTGTAATAAAAAAATAGAAATTTTTGACAGCTACTTGATTTATAATATCTTTCGGTCTGGCTAACTAACCAAAACTGAGCAAAACCCGAATTTGTGTCCTATAGCCCCCAAGATACATAAAAATCTAATTAACAATGAAAATAATTGACAATGTTAAACTACGATTTACCCAATAGCTTGCAAAAATTTCAATTTCGGTATCATCTTCCTCAATTTCTAATTATTACCAAACTATTACTGGAACCTCCAAGTGTCATACTTGTATTTTTGACACCTTCAACGTATGAATCGTTCATGATATATTGCATGCTGTAATTCATTCTATACTGGCTCTAACCAAATACATTCATTCACAAAAAAAATAAGTCGTCGGTCGGTGTACCTGCTGATTTAACATATAGCTATCGTAATAAAGCACACTCGCGTTCAATAGGAGACGGCAACATATGGCAGATAACGCCGCCGGCCAATCCGCAGCAAATACTCCAAACGCAACAACAGATCGCACAAGAATGCAGCGATCTTGTCAACGGCGAAGCCCTTACGTGCCAAGAACTGTTGGCCCTAGGTGCGATCAACGCCGCTCTGCCAACCGGTCAAATAGTCCTCGACACGTTCTTCAACTCCCTCTCCAAGGGTATCAACAATCGGCAAAAAAACGCCGAAGAACTCTACACGCAGCAGTTGCCAGAAGACGACTTCACTTGCTGTCAAGATTTGTGGCACTGCGAGGCCGAATACAAAAACGAAAAACGATCGAAGTTCTACGTGGTCACGTGTACCATCGTCAAAGGGTTTATCAAAGCGTTGAAGTCGTTCAGGAGGTACATAAAAGTACTGGTCGGACATAAGGTGTTCCAGCACGGTATCCTGCTGGCGATTCTGATCAACACGCTTTCGATGGGTATCGAGCATCACCAACAGTCCGAATGGTTGACGCACTGCGTCGAGGTGACCAACGTGATATTCTCTGCGGTGTTCGCCGTTGAAATGGTCCTCAAAGTAATCGCCGAAGGTCCGTTCGGGTATATATCGAACGGGTTTAACGTATTCGACGGGGTAATAGTGGTTTTGAGGTAATGGTTTGAGTGTGGGCGGAGCGAGACGGACCCGTAGATGTCAGAGATGAGAACAGACGTAATAGGAGTAAATAACAATGCACAAGTTCTACGGGTAGCCGTATTGACGAATTGCTATGTCACGTTTGAGAACATAACCTTTATTTACGTAAGGTCCCTCGATCTTGTCCTATCGCACTCGTTTTGTTGCTGATTGTTTCTTCCGGATTGTCTTCTTTCCTAATTTCGCCATAATTTTCTAATTTCTGACAGATAATGTAAAAACCAGTTACTTTTGGCAAAACGAATGAGTTTTGTCCCGTGACAACGCGATTAGAACTTCGGTAAAGTTTTAGAGATTATGATTGTACGGATTTGTTTTATCGAAAGACAAGAGTAGACGACGAAAAATAAGGATATAGACAAAGAGGGAAAAAAACGAGACCTCCAATAACACTTTAAGTTTAATAATATTGGATCCGAACGGCGTCCTTTACTTTACCGTTGATGTTGCTTAGTTGATGGCAGTCAAAAAAAGATGATGCTATTTTCGCAACTGATTTCCTTTTGCACAAAAGGCGTGTTAAGTTTCATTCTATAATTTATACAGAAAACTAAACACACCTCTTTACCGAATGAAATGAAAAGTGAGGTTATGATAGCATAATTGACATTTGCAATAGTTAGATACAATTACTAAAAATAAGTTTTTCTATTTAATAATATTTAGTTTCCACATCGGATGAAATGTTTTACACATCGTCAACACATTGAAAATCTAGTTGGTCCAATTTTTTGTCAACGGACTTTGAGAAACATAACCTAAAAGGATCATTGATTTACAATCAGTATAAGAAGGTGCGTGTCGTTTGATAAATTTAAGTCCAAAAGCGTTCTGTTCTCTCCTGACATCCACGGATGGGGTCCGTGTCGCTTATTTGCTGCATTTCAGCGCGATAGAGTTGTTTAAAAACTTCACGAGGTCAGACGAGGAGCTGCACACCGACTCCGGATTGTCGGTGTTGCGCACGTTCCGCCTGTTGAGGATACTCAAGTTGGTGCGTTTCATGCCGAATTTGAGGAGGCAATTGTTCGTTATGCTCCGTACGATGGACAACGTCGCGGTATTTTTCTCCCTGTTGATTTTGTTTATATTCATATTCAGGTAAGTCGACAATGGCGACCTTTTTGCATTTTTTAAGGTTATGCGCGTGAACGGGTGCGCCTCGCATGAGTCACGCGATGTATTCGCGACTGCGCAGAGAAAAATACAAATGTTTCCGATCTTTGTAGTTAAAACCAATTAATAATAGACCAAAATTGGTGGACATGCTGTATAAACTGAACTCCGCCGATTGACGTTAGCCCAATAACTAATTTTATCTATTATCAAAGTTCAACAGTGCGAAAAAAACTAAATAGAGAAGTTGTTTTGTGACTTGTCTTGTGTAATCTGCTACGACAATTTTCATTGCGCCATTAACATTCACAATTGATACATACATCGTGTCCCATTTTTGAATTAATTACTTTATTTACCTGTCAAATTTAATATTGGTGTAAATTCGAAAAAAGTTAAAACTCTGTTTCGTCAATTGACAATTTTTTTTAAATGACGTTTGAAACTAGTTCAGTTTTAGGTATCGAATAGTAGAGTATATACACATAATTTTTCACGATACTTATGCGAGGCGCCCCCTTAATAACAATTTGATAAAAACTTATAGTAAAAAGGTGAACATGAAATTTTAAAATATAAATAACCGGGATATCACCTCATTCATATTTGTCGAGATTGGGTAGTAGGGGTGGCATTTGATTTCCACATTGTGTACATACGTTATTTTAGACTTTTTTGTTTATTTATTTTATTTTAGATTGATGTTAGACAATTCTAAATATATACTGTTCACACCGATATTATACTCTTCATACACTATCCTGTTTTTTCAGTGTTGTCGAGGCACTTGATACTGCACATATATATATATATATATATATATATATATATATATATATATATATATATATATATATATATATATATATATATATATATATATATATATATATATATATTACCCGAATCTACATCAAACAATAAATTGTACATAGCCTTTATCATCCATATACGTCAACATAATGTTTCGGTGCAAAGTGGACCGGAACGTTGGGGGCAAACATTCGCTAGCGATCATTTACGGCATCGATAGGGTTCCATTTTCACATACTAACATTCCAAATATCACCAAAAAAAAAGTATTCTATTCTAACAAACCGAATTAATATAAACAACGAAACGTTCGTTATGAAAATAAATACTCCTTCTGATTTGATGATTTTTGGGATGTTGTAGTATCCTGGGTATGAATATATTCGGTTGCAAGTTTTGTAAAGACGCAAGCAAATATAATAGCGAGCGGATTTGCGTGTCCAACTCTGACGATGACAAAGACAGAAAAAATTTTGATTCGCTCTTGTGGTCCCTCGTTACCGTTTTCCAGGTATTTGAACCAGTTAATTCTGTTTTGTTTGTTTTATTTTTATTTTTTTTTCATAAGCGAAAAACCGTATTTGGTAAATATCGAGTTCCGTGTTAACGGTCGCCCCTCCACAAAACGGGGGCGGATTATTTTTACCAAACACCGTTTTTTCTTTGTCGTCGTTTTGATTCTCGTTTCTATCGACCAATGGTGCGAGGATCTGCCAGAACTCGAAGGTACGTCACTGCATCTTGCTTTGAACCTCCCCTATTTGTTTATACACTTTGGCATGAGTTTCGTCACGTGGGGACTATTACCTCGTTCGCACCGCACCGACAAATTGTCGGTTAGAACTAGAAGCATATAAGATTTATTGTGATTACTACGTCCACACCATCAACAAGAAATGTTCTATGGCACCTTCGTTTATAATGTTCTCGATGGTAGCGACACTGGATTATTAATAACACATTAACGAGAAACACAAAGTCGAAGGCATTAGTTAAACAAAATTTATGGGAAACAAGAACGAGATACTTTACAGGGTAAATTTTAACGGATAGAAAAAAAGGTGTAAAAAGGTGCAAATGTCAGAAAAAACAAACTACGATCGCAAAATGTCAAAATGACAGCAAAATCATTTTTTTAAATGGAATATATTATTAGATTAAATCCTAGATCTCTTTTCCTGATTTCAAAAACATAGTTTTTTGACACTTCATTAAGCCGTTTTTGAGATATTTCAGTCTAAAAATAATTATCATTCGATTTCTGGACAGTGACCATTTTGTTTAAGAATGGTCAAGTCTGCCTTGATAGCAAAACTAAAGATCTGCAACGTAAGTTAAGTAACTTAAGATATTTCAAATGTTGCAAGGGTTAAAAGAGAATATGGACAAATATATCCGGGTAGAAGAGTTCCTTCAATAAATACAATTAAACATGTAATTAAAGAATTTGAGGACCGAAATAGTGTCATACGGAAGACCAGATAATAGAAAGAAATTTTCATGAAGAACTCAATATATTAAGTTACTTTCAAGGTACATTATTATACTAATACCACACTTGACATCATGATGGAGTTCTACTTTCTTAATTTTTATATTTCATATTTTTTAGAAAATCCTGAATATTCTATACCTGACGTTAAAAAAATATTGGGAAAGTTGTATAGTAAAATTCAACGAACGCTAATCTCATAAGTTCCACCAGTATAAGTTCCTTCCTGTGCGAAATTTAACCGATAGAGGATCTCAAGAAAATGGAAATTTTCTAAACAAAATAATATATACGGATGAGGCTTCGTTCACAACAGCAGGTGTATTTAATAGGAAGAATAAATATTTTTGGTCCAACAATAATCCACACAAAATGCAGGCAGTGAACATCCAAGGATGTGTGGTATCTTGAACAATATGGTGGTCGGACCAATTATATACGATGGATCCGTGAATGACCAACGATATTCAAATTTCTTTGCATTAGAAACAGTTGTTAGATAATGTGTCAGTTAGGAATTATTTAAATTTAATTTGACATCAAGATGGCGCACCTCCACATAATGTCCAACCGGTTAACGATTATCTAAATACTTCGGATAGGTAAGCTAGGAACTATCAATTGGCCTGCCAACAGTCCCGACCTGAATCCTTGTGAATTTTTTTGTGAGGATACTTAAAAAATAAAATTTATTATAGTAGGCCTGAAAGTTTACAAGTGATAAGAGAAAGACTTAATATCGTTTTACCAGATCTAAACGAGAAGGCCCTGATTTTATCATCTCATGTATTAATAGGAAATTGAAAAGAAATGCCCGATGTATAGAAAATAATGGCGATTATGTGGAAAATGTTTAGCGTTAATTATTAATATTTTTATTAATATAACCCACTTGAAATATCTTAAGTTATTTAACTTACGCTGCAAATTTTTAGTTTTGATTAGTTGTCAAACCATTGTTAAAATAATCGCTGACATAGATAATATGGTTGCTATCAGGGCAGGCTTGACCATTTTTAAACAAAATGGCTATCATCCAGAAATCGAATGATAATTATCTTTTAACTGAAATGTCTCAAAAGGAAAAAAAGATCTACGATTTAAGGGCATAGGGCATTCCATTTTTTAAAAATGATGTTGCTGTTATTTTGACAGCTTGAGATCGTCTTTTGTCTTTTCTAACACTTGCATAAGATAATAGATCAAAAATGTTCAAACTTTTGGATTTACACTTTTCAAAATTAACCCTGTAGGTAGGTGTCAAAATATAATGAATAACCCTGTATATAGAAAACCAGATAACTTAACATCTAAAAGGCTATGTCAAAATCACTAAACTTGTATATTCAAAATTTCAAATCTGAAAATTTTAACTATTGGCTTGTGGTGTGGGAACTTAAAGTAGGGATGAGACCGCTCCAATCTTCCCCCACTCTGACGCGATGGGCGGCGCTTGCAGCGCAAATCCACGCCCAACCGCGATGCGCAGGGACGGGAGGTAATAGTCACGCGCGTCGCACAGAGCACCACCTCCTCGCACAAACGACGCTTGTTTTGTAATATTTCGTTCGATATTTTATCAACATGTCACCCCTGCAATTTTGTGTGTTTGTCTCAATACTAATTTATTATTTTATTACTAATAACACACGACGTTTTTCTAGAGGATACGCGGTCGGCGTATTCACACGGTAGTTTAGCTATACGATTTGAACTACTTGCGATATCGACATTTAGCGTACTAATTGACGAGTAGCTTATAGCGTAGAGAGTTAACGGGGGTACTACCGGCAAACGGTACTAGCACTTGGTGAATCCCGGGGGCGATTCTTGTCCTGCAAAACATATCTTGTTAAGATCGGTGTCAAATTAATATTCGTATATGTCAGAAATCTAAGAAATTCCTTAGCTGTACCTGGGTGGTCGGAGGGATAAAAGGAAGATTTATCCCGTTGAAGTTGAACCCCCTTTACGGGGTGTGTAGAAATTGAGTTCTGAAACTTGGAGCAAAGATTCAACGTGGTAAAATAATGGTAGTATGTAACAAAAATTCGAAATCTCAATATTTTCATATATCTATTTTTTTAAACTGCTACTACACTGCTACTATGGTGGCCCATCAGAAATATTCAAATACATGCAAATGCATTTTTGCTACGGAAGAGCTTATCCCAATAGAAACGTTCCATCTGCTAAAACATTCATCAATATACACAGAAGACTTGGTGAAAGAGGATCATTCAACGCTGATAATATAAATTAAGGGAGACCAAGGTATAAAAAAACTTCAAAACTCTACAGTTTTGAAGTTCTGCATGAAAATGATCTTCGGTAGGGGATTATAGGAGATAATCGTATAGGAGAGGAACTACCACCCTTGCAGTAGAGACAAAACATGGTTAATGCAAGATATCGCTCTCCATCCAATTTTACATTGGTTGTACGAGGGTATTTAAACCATACATTTGAACATCGATGGATAGGTCGGGGCGGACCTCTAGATTGTCCGCCTCGTTCACCAGATCTTAATCCGATGGGCTTCTTGTTTTGGGGGCATTTAGAGTCTTAAGTGTATGACACATCTATAACAGATATCAATGATCTACGACAAAAAATAATAAACGATTGCGAAATCATTAGCTCACAGCATTTTTTTAAATGTATAAGAAAATGTTTAGAAATGAACTGTATGCAAAATGAATTGTAACCAGCGTTGTATACTGTTTAATTCCCGATTATTATTAATATTTTTTTATTTTCGGAAATGTTAAATGTATTTGTTACTTAAATTAAACACGTTGTTGCATTGACTCATACCATTTTTTCACTTTTTTAATTTGTAGCATACTGTTTTGAAAAATTTAGTGCACCTCGCCTGCAGAAATGCATATATCCAGTATCACCTTTCTGTAAATTAGAAGTCGGGCCGAGAATAAAAAAGTCGATTTGTGGCTAAACGATAACACTCATCGACTCAAAACAAGGGTAACAATTTTTCAGGATTTGTGATTCTGTTTAAGGCAATCTAAATAAATAAAACACATTGAGTAAAAAAAATGTTTTAGGTAAAGTGCCCTCTAGTGATAGATTTCTGAAACACTTTTATTTCGTAACGATGACTTACTAAGTCAGGGCTGTGTGTAAAATACCAGCTTATTTCGTTGAGAATTAAGCTCGTTGCATTAAAAATAAAATTTTAAAAAATGAATTTTGACAGCTTGTCAAACTCGGAAAATTATACGATTTCAAATTTTTGTTACACGACTTTCTACCATTATTTTACCACGTTGAATCTTACCTCCAAATTTTCGAATTCAATTTTTAAACACCCTGTATAACCGGGTTTTAATAAGTTTTTTTTTTTCGTTTTAAATATCATCGACCATTGTCGAAATTCAAGATATTTCTAACCTTTTTGGCAAAAGAAACAATAAGAATTTTCACATAATTATGAGATGAAAATGTGAGTTTTCTTTCGATGCAGCTGCTTAATAAAAAAATGTCAGTAATGGTTCATAAGAACTTTTTATACATTTTATTTAGTAACACCCAATACTCGAAAATTCCACCGACCACGTATACTGCTAACGATTGTATTATTCGGAAATTACTGACACCGGTCTATATCTCCGGGCCCCCTTCAAGCTGATCGTCCCAGCGACCCGGCTAACTGTGATCCTTGTTATGCATTTCCATAGCATCCTCGGTATGTACCTCTTTGGCGGTAAGTTTTGCAACTATGTAGACGAAAAAGGCATAATAAGGGACTGCGGATGTGAGATGATCAACGACCCGCGGTGCCAGTGCGACCGGAAGCATTTTAACAACATACTGTGGGCCACCGTTACAGTATTTCAAGTGAGATAATCAGTTTTTCGTTATTATCGTTTACTAGTGTTCGTCCATTTTAGTTCCTCGCGCTTCGACGCGATACCGACCGGTGGCCCATAAACAAAATGGACGCGCCATTCCCATTGGTGATAGAACGACAAAACCAATCAAAATTACATAACCGAAGCAGCAGTTTGTAGAAATGCATTTTGCTTATTTAATTGATCGACTAAAATGAAATGAACTGAAATGTTTTCATTTTTGAAATATTGAGAACACTAGTTATTTGATAGTTAATTCGAAATAAAATTTTGTATTTCCAATAATTAGATAAATATATTTAAAAAGAATTGACGATTGGGCGACGTGGTCATACCAACGCGGTAAAAAAGGACTCCTTAACACTAAAGAAATACTTTATTGGTCACTACCTAGTAATGATTAATTAACCAGTGCGTTAATCATTTGACAATTTACACATCACACAAGGGCCTTCTATTCGTACCTCGATACGATTACAATTCTTATAAGCAAACTGATATTCTACCTCTGAGTCCTGGCTTCACTACCTAGAGACTACTCCAGGTATATCAAATTTTGAAAACATACAGGAATGGTCCATTCAGTTTGTGGGTTATTGGAACCGACTCGCCGCGTATAAGAAAGTGGTGGCCATCTTCTTAGACGCGGTCGTTTGAGCCGAATTTCTGCGCGCGCGCGACATACTGACTTGCGTCCTCTTTTAGATCTTGACCCAAGAAGATTGGAACATGGTCCTATCAAACGGCATGGACAAAACGTCGCACTGGGCCGCCCTGTATTTCGTCGCTCTAATGACCTTCGGTAATTACGTGCTTTTTAACTTGCTGGTAGCCATTTTGGTAGAAGGGTTCAGTTCCGAGCGGAACGAGCGAAGAGAGAGGGAACAGAGGGAATTGGCCAGGCGTAAAATGTCTTGCATATTGGAGGCGAGCCTAAAGGGTAGCAACAACGGGAGTAGCAGATCGGAGACTAGTTCCACCGACAGTTACTCTCAAGTAAGACCTGCGGCGTAGGGTCGGGGGCAGTAATGCGGCATCGGGTTCTACGTATAGGTGAAGAGGAACTCTTGGCGATCCGCCGAGGAACTGAGGAAAGTGAAAGAGCTGAACAGTCCCAGGACTACACTCGCGCTCAGCCATTGCGACTGCATAGACAAAGTGGTGACCAAAGACTGTTGCTTTATACTGGAGCCGAAGTGCAACATACAGAAAGAGTCCATGTTACGGCAGCCGTCGAGACAGGTGCGCGACGTGGCGTTTTTGGTAATGTTAGACAGAGTGTTCCCGAAAATATTACATTGCAGGAATACAAACAAATAAGAATTTTTTCCGCATAGTTCAAAAAGCAGTATTTGTATTGTTTCTTTTTTTTGACACAGAAATACAAAAAGACGGCGGTTATTCGGCCAACAATTTTTATGAGTTGTTGAACAAAATTCAATAATTCATGATATTTTTCAAAGTACGTGTCTTTCTCATATAACATGCATTAACGCCTATTTCCCTTCAAACTTGCGGTACTTATTTCTATGGAGAACCACAAGTCTCCTCACTTTGTTGGCGATAGAAAGTGGTTCCGACCGATGTATTTGTTTATTTAACGTACTGAACATCCTAAAAATGTATTCAGAGTCCACCTCCCCGGACGTCGTATACGTCATGAACAAAAATATTTGTAGTAGAATTACGAAAAACGGATCGTTTCGCAGGCCTCACCCCCTCTCATCACCCACACCGCAGCCACCCCGCAGGATTCCCCGAACACGACCCTGGACGACTTCCCCGAATTCCGATACAACGTAACGAGTGCTTCCAACGAACCGTACGGCGACGACAGCAGCGTTATCTGTCCGTCATCGCCAGAAAGGGCGACGGTAGGTTTGATGAGGTCATATCATTTCTTAAAGTTGCGAAGACGGTTGCCGTGCATGTGACATGCCCTCCGATATCATTCCTTTCATTTCCTATTTTTTCCTCCCACTCTTTCGCGCCCGAGTCACATTTTATGCTTCCAGCAGAGCCTGAGCTTGCTGAAACCGCCGTCGCTAAGCCCGCCCCCCTTGTCGTTTCGGCAATTCGAAAAGCCGCCAGAAACGGCCGCACCGCAGCAGCCGACCGGAAAAATTGTAATCCACAACGAAAAAGTGGGGATGAAGACGATGACCTTCTCGGAAAAGGTGGTCCAAGTTAATAATAATAGCAAAAATGAGACGAATCAGAACCCCGAACGGGAGAAGCTGCAGAGGAAGACGTCGTGGAAGTTGACGGGCAGGCCGAGCTTAAAGAAGAAAAAGGGGCGGTCCTGTTCCGATTCGGAGGCGGTGCCGCTGAACAACGGGCGAGACCATTCGCAGTGCAACGGCGGAGGGGTGGCCAGACACGTGAGTAGTACCGTTATCGGCTTAGGTGTGCCGCGCTGAAGCGTAGTGACAAAACAAAACACCGGGTGTTTTTAAATTAACACAATTATACCAGTTTGATTATTTACTACAAACTTTAATAATATATGTGTAACATAGAAATTTCAAAACCCAACAAATGATATTTTATTAGCATCGACAAGCCATGACATCTTCAAAAAAATATTTCGAAAGTTTTGGCATTCTCTAACTCTTCGCCGCATTCCCTAACTGATCAAATGATCGGATCTACCTGCGGCATATTCTCCCATAATAATCGCATCTCATTACCGAGACGTAAATCCAATACAAAATGTGACAACGGACTACCTATCATCATAAGTTTGGTAATGTTGCAGACCACGGAACGAGGAAGTTTCTAGTCACTGTAGTCGTATGTGATCTGGCATCGTCTTTTTGGACAACTGATCTTGCAGTTCCTGACAGCAAGTTTAATATAGTTATAAATATAGGAATAATCGGTCATTTTCCGCCCAAATGGTTATTTTGGCCAAACCATAACACGCTTCTATGAAGCGTGATCTCACTTTTCATGCACACTTAAAATTGGAGCTCATCTCTAAGACTTGGGCGGACTCTTTTGCGCCCATAATGAGTCCACAAATAAAAACCCATCAATAAGAACGACCCGACTGCTCTCGTGATTCCACCGAGCCCGTTCTTGACACCATACAAGAGGCCATTGGTTAATGGCAATACGATCTCGCGGATATCTCTCTATCTCTAGCTACCCTCCATTCATGTCCGGTTGTGCTACGGTCACTAAGTCTTAGGAATCGTTCCTCTTAAAACCTCAAGGCCCAAAAAACTTGGTTGAAGATATACTAAGCAAATTCTTTTAGAAAAAGTTAATAAAACCGAATAATTTGATAACGCCCGGTATAATAGCGCGGCACATTAGAGAGAGGGGAAGGCTCGTCATCTAGGCACCATCATTTAGGACGCTTTCGTTGTTTTTCCGCACGTTTTGTATTTCAGGCGAGCCTAAGGAACGACTCGCTGTTGCAGTCGTCGATACGGATCAGAAACGACACGCAGCCGAATAACCGGAAAGGCGTGGCCCCGCGAAACCCTGTTAGATGTAGATCAAACACTTGCAGCGCCTCGCAACAAGTAATGCCATTTCATTTGTTTTTTTTTTCTCTCTCTCTCCCACCGCTTCCGCTTCATTTACCATCGCCAAAATCACGGCCGCTTTAAGTCGCACACCGGGGAGGACACGATTTTTTTTCCACGTTTTTTTTTAGATCGCACCGGCACCCGCTTTGACCAGGCGCAACTCGCTCTCTAGACCCGCACCGGGTCCCGATCTGCCGGACAAGAAAAACACCCAGATCGAACTGAGACCCGTCAACAATCTAAAAGACAATTCGTTAACCGAAAGAACTTTGCCACAGATCAAGCTCGACGACGGTGGACAGACGACGACGACGTCGTCTCCGAGACTGACCGTGCTCAATCGGATCGAGGCGCTGCTCGAACCGACCGGATGTTTGAAAGGTCGAGACGATTACTCGCTCTATCTGTTCGCGCCGGATAATCGGTATGAAGGCGCTCCCGACGCCGACGTTTCAGACATTTAAACGAAGGCGGTTCTAGATTCAGACGTAAATGCACGTGGCTGGTCGAGCAGAAGTATTTCGACAACGTCGTGCTGCTTTTCATCGCGATGAATTGCATCACCCTGGCGATGGAACGGCCCAACATTCCGCCCGACAGTCCGGAGAAATTGTTCCTGCAGAGCTGCAACTATATCTTCTCGATCGTGTTCGCCTTCGAGATGTTCGTCAAGGTATAACTCTCGTAGAAAATAAATTTAGAGTGCTACAGTTTCCATAAAAAAAAACAGTTTCCATACTAAATGAAATTTTTAATTTAAATAAGCCCCCTAAGATTGAGCACTTGTAAAATATGCCTTTTCCTTAAAATGTTGTTTTTGGAAAATATATAATAATAGACTCTGTGAATGCCCCAAATCAAATAACACTCAATATTCTAATTATTTCCATATTGTTTTTCCTAATTGTTGAATATATATGACATACGTTACCGTTTACGAAAAGCGGCACAGAACCCACCAAGACACACTACTTACACATACCCCGGATATCTGCACTAGCGTCTTCCATTTTTTTTTTGCTGTTACTAAAATGCTTTCAATCCCATATAAGGATAATCAAATAAAACAACGCAATGAAGTAGAATCGAATTAGATCCTCTCGGTTCGACAACTACGTCTTGACTAAAACCTTGACTCTTGACGTAAACCCAAAAACATCGCATATTCTAATTATATCTCCTCACCTCAACTTTATCTCTCTGTCTTTTTTGCCTGAGACATCGATACATTTAACAATCGGCAAAAGAACAAAGCGGCGCCTCTTTGTTACGGGCTCTTGTCGGATATGACGTAATACTATTAATATTCTAACACTCGGCCATCCTGACTATTGCTCTGTTCTCAGACCTGACGGTAAAATCTAAACCTAACTTCAATCTTACAAAACTACGATAATTTGATCATTCTAGCTTGGTTCCTAGTATTAATCATTACGTAATTAAAAAAAAACATAATCAGTAGGCAACGTTTGCCAAAATACAAAATACAAGTGACGTTCGCTTATAGACGACGTTTGCCAAAACACAAGCGACATTCGTTTATAGGCAACGTGTGCCAAAATACAAAACACAAGCGACGTTCGCTTATAGGCAACGTTTGCCAAAATACAAAACACAAGCGACGTTCGCTTATAGGCAACGTTTGCCAAAATACAAAACACAAGCGACCTTCGCTTATAGGCAACGTTTGCCATTAATCCTCTTCGTTTTGTATACTAATCCACTTTTTAACATGGTCTGCGGCTACAACAGTTCTTCTACGTTTGCACCCCTCTCGTAAGTCTTCAACTTCGTATCTGGCCTCACTATTTCTGAAATGTGACCTCGTAATCGTCCGGAAATGATCCGAAAAATAGTATCATCGTCCCATTGATAGCGTTCTGCCAAACTATCTCTCTTACACAACCAATTATCCACCATCGCGCCACCCCAACTTAGGTCAAATTTCGGCACTAAAAGTTCGTCTCCCGCGCGAAATACCGGCTTTTTAAATCGTTTAATTCTTTTCTCAAAGGCTATAACTGGAATTCGAACTGTCACTATCACTTCCCGTTTTTTACACTTTTCACTTGTAACTGTTTTCGATTTAAATTTTCCCATGACGTACAATAATGTGAACTTGTCCGAAAAAAAAAACCATTGTAACTGATTTTGATAATATCCCACCGCTGCTTTGTAAGGATAATCAAATAAAACAACGTAATGAAGTAGAATCCATTTTGAGCCTCTCAGCTCGACAACTACGTCTTGACTAACTTATCGTAAACCCAAAAACATCGCATAATAAGACCCTAATTATATCTTCTCGCCGCAACTTGCCCTCTCTGTATTTTTTGCCTGAGACATCGATACATTTAACAATCGGCAAAATATATGACGTAATACTATAAATATTCTAACACCCATAACACGTTAAATACTATTTTTTTCCATTTTTTTTATTGCTCAAAAAATCTTAAAATTAATATTGAAATAATGACAGGACTTTTTAAATGCTCTTAAAAGTAAATACTTATCGTGCTGTTAAATTCAGAATACTTTGCCAATGAGTGACTTATTACGACACGGCGTGTGACAGATGTCAAGACACGCCACTTGAGCCTATACCGAGTATTCGCATTGGCAGTTTCTTGGTTGATATTATTTTAATATTATGTAACTAGTATTTTGAGAAAATTGAACATCTTGTAAAAAAAATGAAAATGAGAATTTTAAACTAAAAAATGTTCTTCTTAATGTTGTTAAAATAATACTAAGATTTCCATCAGAAATTAATAAAGAACTGAGGAAAAACATTACATTTGCAATAACTGAAAGGTGATTAACACCATCAAACGTCTCAGTCCCCTCGTTTTTCCAACGACCGTGACGCCGTAGCAATTGCAGGTCGTAGCGGCCGGCATGTGCTACGGTCCCAACGCCTACTTCACTTCCGGCTGGAACATAATGGACGGCTCCCTGGTGATCATTTCAATCGTCGACATAATCATGTTCTTGATCAACGACACCACCTCGCGGATATTCGGCATACTGCGAGTAAGTAACCGCGACGCGCCACCTGGTGGCGTTCCCGCTCAAACCTACGATTACAGGTGTTTCGTCTATTGCGATCGCTGCGCCCCCTGCGAGTGATAAATAGAGCGCCCGGGCTCAAGCTCGTGGTACAAACATTGCTGTCATCGCTACGGCCCATCGGCAACATCGTGCTCATCTGCTGCACGTTCTTCATCATTTTCGGTATACTGGGCGTACAATTATTCAAGGGCACATTTTATCACTGCGTCGGCGAGAATTTGACCGGCATATATAACGTTACCGACTGTCTCGATCGCGGCTACCAGTGGAAAAACGAAAAGTACAATTTCGACGACTTGGTGCAGGCGCTGATGTCGTTGTTCGTGCTCAGCTCGCGCGACGGCTGGGTGAACATAATGTACACCGGTTTGGACGCCGTCGGCGTCGACAGACAGCCGGTCACCAACTATAACGAGTGGCGTCTCCTCTACTTTATATCGTTCATTCTCTTGGTTGGCTTCTTCGTGCTCAACATGTTCGTGGGAGTCGTCGTCGAGAACTTTCACAGATGCCGAGAGGAACAAGAGAAGGAGGAACGTATCAGAAGAGCGGCCAAACGGGCTCTCCAGCTGGAGAAGCGGCGAAGAAGTATTACACGACAGTACCCGACCCCGATGACTTTATATCTAAAGGAGAGCAAATCGTGATCCCCTCGATACCAGTGTGTTTATGGTGGGGGAACTCCTTCGGATACAAAGTCATCGCTCGTACCGCCTCGCATTCATGCCAAATCGTTTCCAGAAATGAACGAGCCTCCGTACTATATAGACTACGCCCCTTGGCGACTGTTCATCCACAAGATCGTCACGTCGAAGTATTTCGACCTCGCCATAGCGGCCGTGATCGGTTTCAACGTTATCACGATGGCGACCGAGAGCTACAAGATGCCCAACACGTGGGAGTACGTCCTGCGCATCTTCAACTACTTCTTCACCGCCGTTTTCATACTGGAGAGCGTGATGAAACTGATCGCCTTAGGTTTCCGCATGTACATTAAGGACAAGTGGAACATCCTCGACGTCGTCATCGTTATCCTGTCCGTGGTCGGGATCATCATCGAAGAGATGAAAGAGAACGAGATGAAAATCATCCCGATCAATCCGACGATCATCAGGGTGCTGAGGGTGATGCGTATCGCGCGCGTGTTGAAACTGCTCAAGATGGCGAAAGGGATCCGCGCCCTTTTGGATACCGTGATGCAGGCCCTACCGCAGGTGGGCAACTTGGGACTGTTGTTTTTTCTCTTGTTCTTCATCTTCGCGGCCCTCGGCGTGGAACTTTTCGGTCGGCTAGACTGCAAGATTACCCCGTGTCAGGGTTTGGGCGAGCACGCGCACTTCGAGAACTTCGGCATGGCGTTCCTCACGCTGTTCCGCGTAGCCACCGGCGATAACTGGAACGGTATCATGAAAGACACCCTGTACAACGAGAACTGCGACGACAGCGACGACTGCATCCGCAACTGTTGCATATCGCCGATCATCGCGCCGATTTTCTTCGTAATCTTCGTCCTGATGGCTCAGTTCGTGCTAGTCAACGTCGTCGTGGCCGTGCTCATGAAACACCTGGAGGAGTCGCACAAACACCTAGAGGACGAGCAGGACATGGACATACAGCTGGAGAGGGAGTTCCAAGAGAAACAGGAGATGCACGAGCGCCGGGAGCTGTGCCTCGCCCTCCAAATGGACCAGGAGTGTCAGATGAAGCACAAGCCGCTGACGAAGGTATATGCCCCGAGCAGTGACGTGTTATACACTGGCCAGCAAAATTAACAGGCCACTAAATTACTTTGAATGACTTTGTTAGTTGTTTTTTTTTATCTTATCTTATTTTTATTTGGTTGGATTTCAGATAAATAACCTACCTAGGTTTTCGTTTTATTGGTAAAATTTATCGTTCGCACTGAAAAAATACATTCGTTTAGTAAAGTGTATGTTGAGTGTGTCCAGGCAGTGATTTTACTGGAAGAAGAATTGGACAGAAAATTGGTGTATAGCGTACATCCGTTTTCCGTATGATCCTACGTTCCAGGAAGATAGTGCTTAAGTAGACCTGGTCCAGGCAGACACCGCATAGCTGCGCCAGTTCAAGACCGTTTTTTAAGAGTCCCTGCTTTAAGACAACACAGGACACAGGGAGATTGCTGCAGACACAGCTAGAGGAAGCAGATGGACTCGATGGACTAAGACTGGGAAAGAGTGTTTCAGCCAGATGAAACCAAATTTTGTCTCTCTAGATCTATAAGAGTTTATCGAAGACCACATATAAGATATGCCCAATGGAACTTTCAAAAACCCAGATTATTCGGTGGATGATCAGTTGTTGTGTGGAGGAATCTCTTTAACTGCCGACCGAGTGCTAACATGCGACGCGATTTGGTCTTTACATTGGTGGGATTTTTTTTTGTTTTAGCATGATAATGCATGATACTGTGCAAAATTATCTTCATGAGGCTGGAATTGAAACTATGTATTAGTCAGCAAACAGTCCTGATCTTAACCCAATTGAAAACGTTTGGAACACGATCTATAGCGATCTTTTTCAAGAACTTCCTAAGTATGGAATAATTTCGATTAAAACGGGATAGAGATCTTACATTTTAGCATGAATAATCGGTGCCGTGCTGTTGCGCAAAATCGAGAAGTTAATAATTGGTTTATTTTTTGAATTTTGTTTTTTTATTTATTTTTTTATTATCTTCGTTGGAATGTTTTGTCAATGTTATAATTAAGTTGGAATACATGTTCTTAGTTAATACATGAAAATATGTGATGAAATAAAATATATTTTTAAAAATATAATACTGTAGCGTTAAATTTGTTGGTCAGTGTATTTTTTAAGAAAGTTTTTTATATTTATTTAATGGCGACCAACTCCGACAGCTCTATCGGGCCAAATTTCGTCTAAATTTTAATTTTTCAGCCCCCTAGCGACACACTATTACGCGATACTGATGAACTTGAACTTGGTCAAACTATCCGCCTGCCAAAAATAATCACCACCACATTCTGCCCCTCCATCTTGGGACGGGCTATATTTCAGTTCCGCCCTTTAAGGCGAGAACTTTCCCGGGGGAGGGACGCGGAACCGCCCCATTAGGGTGCGATCTTAATTTTACCTTTCCTTCAAAAGCGTAAATTTTGCTTCAGACTCGCGCCTTTTTGGTTTGTAAACGTGATCCGACTTGAATGAAATTTCACAGAGCAATAGGAGCTGATAATATGTTCCTAACGGGGGTGACTAAAATCGAAACGTCAAATAGGTTCGGCGAAATTTAAAAACTAACGCACCTGCAGGTTCTCTCTCTGCCGTCGAACTTCACTTACAACCCACCCGGTACCAAGATCATCCTCGAACGTCAACCGTCGCAGTTCCGACGCCAAACCATGCACAGCCATCAACCGATCGCCCTGTCCACCTTAGACGACATCAAAAACATCGACGAGTCCGTGTCGGACATTTACAGCATCCAAGAAGTGGTGGCCGTCTACAACGCTCCCGTAGTGGTAGCGGAACCCCAGCGAGACACGGACGAGATGCAGCTAAAGGTGCCGACCATCGACGAGCCGAAACGAACCACGACGAACGGAAACAACAGACTCGCGCTGCCCGTCGACAGTAAACCCGTGCACAGGCTGTACGGCAGCACGAAACATTTGTTTAACAAACAACTGTCGATGGACGTCACCGAAGAAACACCGTTTTTGCAAGCGTTGCCGGTACCCGTCCCGCGACTTCCCAAACACGACAGTCAGGAGAGCGTCCAGCGCATCATCAAGGAACGTCGAAAATTGGACGAGAATCTCAAAGAGGTCGACCGGTACGACATCTTCGACGTAACGCGCGGCAGCCGTGAGGATTTGGTCGACGGGTAGTTTAGTTTTACATTTACATATCCAATTTATTATTATTTGAGACGTTATTCGTCGTAAACTTTTCGATTTGCGCTTCGCACCGTCAAAAGTTAGGTTATGGTCTGCGCTCCTAGAGTATTTCCTACGTCTCACAGCGGGCTGGTTGGTAGAACTAGGTTGACTTTTTTTAGAACTAAATATTTTAATGTTTAACTTTTACTTAAAGCATACGATTATTAAAAACCTTATATCCTCTTCAATTCAGTTATTTCTTGACTCTTCAAGATTTGGGTACAGGTATTGTGCAAAATATAAACGAACACATCAGTTTATTTTACTAGGGGTGGTATTTTTATTATTTATTACATTCTATTTATCCCAAATTGATACACATAATATTATATATGATATTACGTTCCTACATAAAAACTAAAGTAAAATGCTTAGATGATTTATTTTATATTTTTATATTATTATCTTCAAAAAAGTCCCGAACCCCACTACACTGATACAATATTAGTTTTTCGATTTCTAATATGAAAGTTGTCTAATATTAAGAATTCCATTACATTTTTTTGCAAAAAACTCAAAAATATGCCTCCATTTCAGTTATTTATTTAGCGAAAACGCAGAAACCTTAGTTTAAAAAAAAACACTATTTTAATAAATAAAAAAAATATATTGACAAATTAATGGAGCTTCGTCAAGCAAAACGAGTTTTCTACTTAGTGTTAGCGTCCTCTATCGGACGTTTCCTCTTGGCAAATTTTGTTAAGAAAAAAATTACCTGGAAACTCTGTGATTATTAACTTCTGAGATATGGACTCTTACCTCTTTTTGACAGATACAAGTTCGTTGCCTTTCGACATTCTTTCGTATCTTCAAAAAAGTCAGTAGCACACATTTTCGGGTCATTAATATTCGCCTTCGCGAAACCCACTACACACATACAATATTACTTTTCCATTTCTAGTGTGAAGAATTCAGTTGTCTAATATTAAGAATTCCATTACATTTTTTTGCAAAAAACTTCAAAATATGCCTCCATTTCAGTTAGTTATCTAGCAAAACCGCAGAAACCGTAATTTGGCAAATATTATTGTAATAAATAGAAAAAAAACGCTATAGTAAAATGTAATAAATTGACACATTAATCATCATCATCAAATCAGCATCTTCACCAAGCAAAACTAGTTTTCTACTTGGTGTTAGCGTCCTCTATCGGACGTTTTACGCACTCCAAATAACTTGCAGCGTTTTTCCGCTCGGCAGGTTTTATTAAGAAGAAAATTACCTTGAAGCGCTGTGATTATTAACTTCTGAGGTATGCACTCTTTTGACCTCTTTTTGACAGATACGTTTTTTTTACAACAGATTCTTTAAATTGTATCGAAACCATCGAAACACCCTTTAGCGCAAAAAATCGCAGGAAAACAACGCTAAATTTATGATCAGGAAATAAAAAAAATCTGCTTTTATGTTGGTACTTTGGGGTACTCTGTTAGTTTTTTTTCTCCTAAACAAATTGGACCCTAATTCTTTGACACTTATAAAAAAATCACCAACACTTGCTAAAATGTATAAAATACAAAACATCCAAATAAACTTCAAGGCTTTGAAATATTAATATTTTGACAGTGCTAAAAAAATTGTTTTTCAAAGTCTTCTATGTAAATTTGTTTGACATGTTTGAAGTTTTATAAATGTCACGATTAACGTAATTTTCATATATTTATTTTAGTACATATTATTTTTTTTAAACAAACATAAGGTATAAGGTGTCTCCTAAAACATTTTGGTACTTTATCTTTGTAAAGTTGTTAACCTAGTTTGGTTTAATTGCCCTCTGTGAGTCGGATAGCATGTTCTGCAGTGAACCAGTCATTATGAATCCTCATTACAAATTGGGGAACGTTGAAATTTTTCTTTATTTTATGTAATGTAATCCAACCGGGAGAATAGATTTAGGTACGTGCGGTGTGAAACGTTAATTAAAATGCAAACTTGGCAGAAATGGGTAGCGAAATAAATATTTGCAACGAGTCGGATAAAAAAAATTCTCAAAATTTTTCGTTCCGCAGTTAACAATAATAAGGTTGCTTTACTATCGAGGAACGCTGGAATTACTGTAAACTATTAGATAGATAAAATGTAGAGTAAATTACTCTCGCGTGGTTTTTAGTCAACTCTAGTAGACGTCTTAAAGCTTACAGTTGATTTTAGGTTATGTTCGCGCCCAGCCGTTAGGACGCACGGGGTGCTACTTGTATTACGACGCCTTCAAAATATTCATTCTCAGTTCCAAAATTCCTTACTAGTACTCTAATTATCCTTTATTCCTTCACGTTAGAAGCGAGTTAAAAGGTGAGCAATCTACACACCACAAGCATATGCTCGCGTTTAGTGTGAAATATACTATTTTTTGCAAGCAAATTCAATCAATATGTCATGTATAGATTACATGTTTATATTTGATTGGAATTTTTGTGCTGGCAAATATTGATAGTTGTCTTCCTCTTTCGAAACCGATTGAATCCTTAAATCCTTCATCATTTTATTTTTAATTCAAAAAGTCGCAATGCAGGCGTGCACCCCGCGAACCAATCCAAAGGAATAATAAAATAATTCAGACAGGGTTGATCTCGAATATATTTTGGTTAAGTTTAGGGTTAAACAGCCGAATAAAAGAAAATACCGAAGAGACAATCCTTCTAGGGCGATTTCGACAAAACTATTTAATCGGTAGAAAAATCAGAGGTTAATAAAATAAAAATCAGTCAATTAGTGAATCAAAGGAAATTACAAACGCAGAATTAGGTGATAATATAATTAAACTAGTAAGGGACTATCTTACACAGAAACTGGTTCTCCGTTTCTGTTCGTTCGATATTTTCTGTATCAGTTAGTCGGAAGCAACGCGATGTTTGTTAGACAACGGATCGTTGGGACTGATTTTTTTCATTCACAGATTGGACAACTTTGCCCGTCGACGGCACGTTCGCTAACAAAAATCGCCTTCACATTTTTAATGTCTCGTCTGTGATATTTTTAGTCGTCTCCTTCTAGCGTAGCTCGTTTTTTCCGAAAAATGGGGGGGTTTTTCGCGGAAATGTCCCGCAAAGAACCACCGAAGCGCCGCTTTCTGTAGAAAAACACTCTTTTCTCTCTACCTGTGCCTTCTGTCTGTACAGCGGATATCTTGTAAGTCTTCGTTACTGTTTGTAATGTAGAAGGTAGTAATTATATTGTCGCTAGGATGTAAAGATATTAAATAAAACGAATATTAATTAATTCGTTTTTGTTATTAAATTTTATTGACTGACACAAATCTCTAATAATCAAATATAAAGTGAAAATTGTACGAACCTAAATTATATACAACACTCTGGGTTTACACAACAAATCAAATGGCGACACCGCCCATTGAACCAGGCAACGGCGTACAATTTAGGTTAGGTTGACGATCGAATTTGTTCATTACGCCTTTGCCTCTTTCAGAACACTATGAAACTAATTAGGAAAATAATCGATTACTACTAGATCACCTTTTATTACGTCGACGAGACTCGGATAGGTTGCATCGGGCCCGCCCACTTTCAGTTACCTCACTTCACCTGTACTCCGAACTGCAAAAATCCAACGAACGACAGCATGAGACACCGGCCGAGCTAGCTTTTTCGCATTCTTTTCGTCCTGTTGGCGGATACATTTGAACCGTACGTGAAGAGGGGGCGTGGCAATGGGCGCGCGTTCTAAGGGCTCTTAAACACCGCTATGTATTCCACGCTTCTATTGGATAAATTCTACGAGACATCTTTTAGTACATTTAGAACTAGATGGAAGGAAGTATTCGTTGAACTTTGTCGTCAAACATCATATACCATGGAGTGGGTTACGATTTCCAATAGCTTTAATTTTTGAAATTGATAAAATATTACAAGTACTTCAAGAACTGAGACAAAAGAAAGTTAGTTACTTCTCGTCAAGCTGAAATAACAGAACATTCGGTCATTTCTATTAAGGAAAACCACATAGCTATGGCCCTAATGGCCGTAGGCGGCACTGATATTGTCGTAGAGAATGACTTTCCTCGCATGCCTCTACATTTCACCCACTAACCTGGATTTTGCGCCGTTTTCTTCCTATACAGTGATTTCCACACACTTACCACGTTTTCCCAAAACATTTAAGAAGATTTAGGCATATTATGACAAAATACTGCCCTTAAAACTGCCCCCTCGAAATTTATTGACGATCTGTCAGCGGCCATGTTAATTGTTGAATGGTACAAGGTCATTGGTTAAAAACGAGAAGTTAAATGTCGCGCATGCGCATGGACCTTCTCAAAAAAAATGTTTTGGTTGCTTCACGCGTTCCTCACCATAAGTCAGTCTCCACGTCTCTAGTGGTCATATGAGAAAAACTAAACGCACTATGCAAAAGGCAGTTTCATCAATCTATAGCATATAGAAAATTATTTCTACTGAACCGCAAGAGAGAAATTTAAATTCAAAATAAGTCAGACAATGGTTTTTAAAATCGCGTCATCGATAACGTACAGTGAGCTGTAGACATACAGTGTTGACGTAAATATGAAAAATTGTCGCTGACAGATTTTCAATTCAACAGTTTTCAGTTTGGAAGTGTCATTTTTCTCGGCAACATTTTGTAACTGCTCCCAATAAATTTTCAAGGAGAAAATTAGTGTTTGAAGGAAAAATGACAGTGGTTAGTGCGTGAACTTCCAGGCCATGCGCTACAAAAATATCGTTTAGGCCCCTATATTATCTAATAGCTATCTAATAGTGAAAACTTCAAATTTAATATATGTGAAAATAAGTACTACAATTTCTTGACGTTTTCGCTTTATGCGACATTAAAAAAAGAAGCGGGTGCGACCTTCAACCAAAGATGATCTACAAACCCTTGGAATACACAGGATGTTTTGAACCTAGCGAGCGATGCAAGTAGTTCAAATGTACCGGCCAAACGCGTACCTTCGGATAAATACCTCTCGTGGCAGGCGCACAAAAGTCAACAGTCAAAAAACACGCGTGTGCGTAAACGGAAAAGACCACGACATTAATGTTTTTTTGATAAACTTAAACTATAAATACCTCGTACAAAGACAAAAAATCGCGAGCGATTGTGCCCATCGGCAGAGTCGTGTGTGGATTCGTCGCTGAAAACTTTGGGTTAACCTTCCCCTATCACACAATTAAACAACGTTTGCTTAATTATTTACACTATTCATATATAAATACCTCGTTTAACGAAACTATTGTTAAAATGATCGCGCGCACGGCAGACGGTCGCAGAAGAGGCAGCGGGGCCATCTTTTCATACTGCTGAAAACTCATAAGACAACATTTGGCACCAAACACACAACCGGTTTGTATCATTTGCAAACCACACCAAAATTTGAATGAAAATTAGTCGACACAATAGTTCAACCTTTCACTGTGGGTGCTGTGAATCGCGCGTGGCAGATGGTACCTTGAGAATGTTTTTCATATATAACACAGCCATATAAAATTCCTATAATGAACCAATCTGATTTGGGTTTGTTCTTACATTGATTGGAAAAGACTGTTCCATAGAAAAGGTAAAAAAAACTAGTCGTGTTTAACTTTCGGAAAAGTCTTTTTCATAGGTTACAGTTCCAAGGACATCAAAGGGCAACTAATTAGTTAAAAAGACTTTTCCGCGTATACAAAACGAATCTAGTTCTGCTTATATTATAATAAAGATGAACTTAACAATGCACTAACCTGTTTGGCTGAAAGATAAAATAATTTAGGATTGAGTAGAATGGCACCTACCTGGGCTGGGAGATCTTACTGGTCATTTTGAACTAAACGGCGGACCTCAATGGCGGTGCCGGTGGGAGGAGCTTCCGTGGTGGTGATACCGATGTCTGCCATCTACTTCGCAAAATAAAATATTCACAATAAATAGTTTGGCTCCAAAAAACCCACCTTCTGCGCGATCAGTGCGATGTCGCCGCTCCCTGTCCCTCTCCCTCTCCCGTTCTCGCAGCTTCGTCTCCCGGACCAGTTCCGAATCACCCCGAATCCTCCCATCAAATTCCCGCTCACGTTTCTCCCTCTCCTCAGTCCTGTGCCTTTCTCGCTCTCTTCTTTCCCTTTCCCTAACAGTTACAAACCTCATAGAACCTTAAAAAACCCAATCGTATAACATTACCTCTTCTCTCCATCCCTTTCTTTCTCTTTCCTTTTTTCTCTGTCCCTTTCCCTTTCTTTTTCCCTATTATCGTCCCTAGTATCCTTAACAACCCCTTTTCTAATATCTTTAATTTCCCTGATCATGGCGCTAACCTCATCCACGGCTCGTTTCAGTTTTGTGTATCCCATATGTTGTTTACCCATGAGATGGTCATCTATTCTCTGTTGGGCATCACCGACTATCAGAAACGCCCCACAGACTTCACAAACTTCCATCAGTTTTTCTTGTTCGACGGCTAGTTGACTTGTGGCATTTAACTGACCCTCATTTTGCATCTTCAAACTGTCCCGTTCCTCTTTTAACTGATCGCAAAGCTTCATTAAGCCTTGAGCTTGCTCAACATTTCCCTCAGTACCAGCCTGTTCTGCTTCTTTCTCCAACTCATTGATGCGTTCATTGAGGATATCAATTTTCTCCTGGTTTTTCTCCGCTAACGCGGGATTCGTAGCAGCTAGCGTATTTTTGCTGCTCAACGCGAGTCTCTGTTTCCCTTTAACTATTTTTCTTTCCACCTCACTGATCATAGAGCTACAGTACCGCAGAAAATCCTCCATATACTGCAGTTTGCGGTGGTGGGTTTTCTTGGCATCAATAAACAATTTTTTCGCCTCCTCGTCGTGGGTTTTCGAGCATGGACCTAAGTCGGCCCTAGTGTTGACGAACAGGTCGTGGGGACAAAACTTTACCATGAAAAACTTGCAGTACTAAAAATAGTTGGTGCGGAAAAACATTTCAATGGTTTAAAGTGAAAAACGTACTTCGTTGTCTTCCCAATTTAACTCTTTGACTTTCTCATTGGGGGCTACGTTTCTGTTGCGGCCCATCAACTCGTCCAAGAGCTGAGCGGCAGCAAGGACAGCCATTTTTTGACTTTGATTACTCTCTAAACATTTAAAAGACCCTCAATAGGCCATCGATTTAAAGTTCGGAGATTTAAGAGTTCGATGGATGTGCGTTTACTTAATTAAAAATTGATTTACGTTATACGATCACCTAACAACGCGCAAACAAGATCGAAAAATTGACCCGAAAACGAGCATAGAACAGCAAAGAAAATGTAAAGGTGAGTTGCACCTCAGAGATTAAAAACATAACTTACAACTCGATTTTGGTGAGTTACGTTTTACTAAATGCGCAAACGGCACGCGTAACTCCTTTCGCCGCGTCATAAAGTTTTAAAAAATGCAGATTGTTTTGCTGACGTAAACATTTCATACTTTCAAATTTAAGGTGTATATTCGGTTGCATAGCTAGTCTTTTAAAACTGCAACTCCATGGTTTTGTATAAACTGGCTACAAGCTAAAAGCTACAATTTTCACCGCGAACAAGGTCACATTCTTCCAGATAATTTATTTTGACTTTCCGCGTATCGCCTACATTCCTTAGCATCGAAAGGTACTATTTGCATATGTTTATAACCATTTCTTAAGTTTAAAGTAATATGTGCGTACAATTATTCTAATGCAACCTATCTATCCACATTCAATTGCGTGGCACCATTCATAGTTGAACGGGACTGGTTAGCAACAACTCACCAATATCTTTTCGAAAAAGAAAACAGACACAATACGCTCGTTATCCTTAATAAACAACGTAATTTTGTCCCACGCTTTATCTACTGCCGTGACGTCACGATCGAACCTTCTGACCAACTCAAAAACGCGCAAAGCAAACTTTGCAATCACGAAACAATCGCGAAACGTCGGCTGCAGTGATACGGGCCAAAGCGTTCCACATATAAAAGGCCGATACCGGACAATTCATCTCCTGTTATCGAGAGCTCGTTGTTCCGCGGAAGTCTAAGCGTTTGATATCGCAATGTACGAAAAAATTAACGTAGACCTGATCAGAAACTCTGGGATACGAATCGTAGACCTGAGGAGCGACACGATAAGCAGACCCACTCCGGAAATGAGGGAGGCCATGTACAGGGCAGAGGTTGGGGACGATGTCTATGTAGAAGACGCAACCGTCAACGCTCTGGAGAAGAGGTGCGCCGAGTTGCTGGGCAAAGAGGAGGCCATGTTCGTCGTCAGCGGTACCATGGCCAATTTGATTGCTGGTGAGTTCGCATTCGTTTTATCCCATGAACGAAGTTTTTTTTTATTGTTTGGCACCTATGGGTTCGGCTACTAAATGGACTGTAGATAACGCATTATTGTTTATGTTTATAATGGAACAAAGAAACTTCGAATTTAACGTCTTTTCGATTATCTCCAGTTAAGTCTATCAATATTTACTAGTGATATAAGGGCTTTGGCGATAAATCATCTGCCAGTTGCAGACAACCCCGTAGTCCCATTTATATACACAAGATTACTCTGACTGTTTTGCAATTGCATCATTGATTTTTAATAACGGTCGTTTTTCTGTCAATAAGACTGGTACTTGCGAAAATTTTGATACAGTCGGGATATTTGGCAACTCATTACATCGAGGTCAAAATTCTTAAATTAGGGTTTCTTCATGTAGTTATTCGCAACATGTTTACTATTCGTTTATCTGCGCGAATTTCCAAATGGTTCTTTTGAAAGATGTTATTCTTAGAGATGTTTATGCTGCAAAACGCAAATATAAGATTTATTTCGCAAGTTGTTTTCTGGCGAAAGGGACTGTGCCCGAGTCACGTTAATTGTTATTTTTTTTAGTAATGGTACACTGCAATCAGAGAGGGAGCGAATTGATATCGGGCGACAAAGGCCACACGTTCAAATTCGAACAAGGTGATTATGTTTCCACAATATTTACGTAATGCGCAACTAGTTTACATTTTCTTGGCAATCCAATTTCTTATATCCGATATGATTATATCAACGCGTTTATTTATAGTAGGCCGCTAGCAAAACTATTTTATATTCTGTGAAGTCTTTGTATTTATATTTTCTTCGACTAGGTGGAACTGCGCATATAGCGGGCGTCCACACCTCGATCATAAAAAACAACGACGACGGCACGTTCAGCCTCGACGAATTGAGGGTGAAAATTCGGAAAAACCCAGACATGCACGAACCGGTCACGTCTCTGATTATCGTGGAAAACACTCACAATTTATGCGGCGGAAAAGTGAGTAAATTGAACGCGTTAAATTTTGTCGCTTCATCGACAAAAATTAAGTCGCGCTATACAACGTTCATGCGAATTACTCACGTGAAATGAAATGTCGAAATATCAACTTTACGCACGCTATTACACTTTTCTGACAACTGACAGATTAAGGCCAAATAAACTGTCAAATTCGTCTGTCACTATAAGTCAAAGCCCTCTCCCCCCAAAGCGTTTATTGCGCTCTCTTACATAAAGTAATATAAAATTAAATTTTATGACAGATGTTTTTATTTGATATAATTTTGGAAGGCTGATTTCAAAAATTCTATGCATTTATTGGTACCACTTAAGGTTTTTTTGCAAATATTCAAGGAAAAAAACGAAAATCCTTGTCTTTGCGTAATGTTCTTATCTGCGGCCCAATAAAAATAACTTCATTTATCTTGGCATCAGATATGGCTGGAAATTGCTCACACAAATATTTGAAACACTTTTCACTTTGCTTTACTAGGACATGACTACCACAGATATAACAAAAGTTATTTGAATTGTTCACACGATGTCTTCTTTTCATATTTATACGTTCTAAAACATTAGAAATACGCAACAACGATGACAACAGCCGCGAACACAGTAGCACGACGACCAATGCAACCAAACTGCGCATAAGCAGGTTCTTCTTCTGCGCCATTTCTGTTACTTTGCAGAGAAACCTAACATTATCCAGTGTTGCCAAATCACATTTAATTTCATAAAAATTAATTTATTTAAAAGTCATGCCTAAAATTGTATATTAACATTTTTAAGATATAGAGCGCTATAAAGAAATGAAATGATGGAGCAAAAATATGGCGTTTTTTGGAAAAAGGGCCTCCAAAAATAAAGAAATAAGCAAACAGCTTTCAAACATCAAAATCACTTTAGACCTATGTAATCAACGGGTAACAAAAATGTTTTTATGTGGACATTTGTCGGACATTGTGGACATTTATCGGCAAATCTTTCATGCGCAAACGTAGAAGACGAATCGTCACGTGAGATACATATGCGCTTGCAATGTAGGTCGTTCCGTTGGAGTGGCTCGAAAAGGTATCGAATGTGGCGGCGGAACACAACATTCCCGTCCACATGGACGGGGCGAGGATGATGAACGCCGCCGTTTACTTGAAACTACCTCCGAGCCGACTCGTCAGGGACGTCGACACCGTGTGTTTCTGCCTGAGCAAGGGACTCGGATGTCCGATAGGCGCCATGCTGGCGGGCAGCTCCAGCTTCATCGAAAAGTAAATCTTCCTAACCTCGTAACAACCATCCTTTACCGCGTGTTAATTTTTGCAGAGCTAGAAGGGTGAGGAAAGCATTGGGCGGAGGTTGGAGGCAGGCCGGAGTGCTGGCAGCTCCCGGACTGGTCGCACTGGATTCTATGGTCGACAGATTGCAGGTCGACCACATCCACGCGCTTAAAATTGCCAAAGGTGAGTGGTCTTTCAGGAAGCGGGAAAGCCGCCTTAATTCGTATATTGTCTTGCCTTGAAGAGGGTTTACTAACGAGGCGTCAACTTTAATCCAAATTAATCCCAATTCCTTGGTTCTTAACAGATATTTTCGGAATATTTCTGACGGATACGCATGCGCAATCCTATTGGTAGGCTAACATCATATTTTAGAGAATAAGAATACGTTTGTGAAAAGGAACTGTACAATCGATGTCACCTGTAAAACAAAAGCTTTAACACTGGTGGTTTCATTGAGAAATCTGGTAATGTAGAAATCGTTGGTTAGTTTAGGTTAGCAGATGCATAAACCGTGGGTAACATTCGACATTAACTATAACTGAAAGTTAAATTGTCGGAGATGTTATTAGGCTTAGGAATTTCGATTACTCACACCGAATTGGGATTATCCTAACTTAAGTGGTGCTTTTTATACGTTTCGCCTCGGTCTAACACTAATACGGTGCGTATTCAGGTGGCCATGACTTCATACACGTCGCGCGATTACGTCAGACTTAACGGAATCGCGCGTGTATGTTACGCGAGTTGCGCATGTTTGCTCGGGGACTAACGGTGCGTTGCATGCCGGGTAATCGGTATATAAGTGGGTGCGCGACAGTCGATCAGGTACGTATCGATAGACGGCGCTTCCGTATCGATCGTTTAACCCGTGATCCCAAATTTCAGCGATTTACGCGACGAAATCGAACAACTTCAAGGTCGATTTGGCCACGGTCCAGACTAACATCGTGCTGATGTTTATCGACCGCACCAAGATCGAAATCAGGGAGCTGCAGCGCCGCTTACAGACGGTTTTGACGACGGACGGCGTGAAATGCAGCGTCAGGTGCTCGTCGCTCAGTATTAACTGCGTCCGATTCGTTTTGTATTGGGAGATAAGCGATGAAGACGTGGACATGGCTTGCGACAAGATCCAGCTCGTCATAAGGGAGTACGACGACAGGCTGAAGGTGGGGTATTGATGGGCGGGCACTTCCGCCGTGTCAAGCATATTTTATTTATAATAAATTTATTAAGTATTTTAGTATACATTCTGAGAAAATAGGTTTTGTTTTTAGGACAAGTCTACCGGAAAGTTGGATTTTTTTCGTTTATTATTGTAAATTATGTGTAGATAGTAATTTTTTCATTAATTTATATTTTTATTAAACATTCGGTAAGAAACAATTTTGTTGGCGTTTTATTTGGAGGGTAATATTTTTTATGTGTATTTTGCGGAGGGTTGTTTGTTATTAGCAGAGACAGTCTAAGCATTCACACAAGACATAACTTCGTTACATTAAAAGTAAGCACCATGAATAAGGTGGAAGCGTTTGAGATGTGGGTGTATCGCAGAGTCTTAAAGACACCATGGACTGATCACGTTTCAAATTTGGAAGTTCTACATCGAGTGAACAAGGAACGCGAGCTTCTCGATACAATAAAAAAAAGAAACATCTCGATCATCTTATGAGACATAATAAATGACTGAAAAATATCAGAGACTGGACTGGTTTCGACTCAATTACTAAGAAAAGCACAAAATAGAGAACAATTTGCCATAATTGTTGCCGATCTTCATTGAATGGAGATGACACTAAGAAGAAAGTGAAGAGAGATGAAAACGTTTTTATTCTGGTAAAACCAAGACACCGGCGCTAATAAATGAATTCTAGTTTCTGTGGAGTATTCAAACACCAAATTAATTCCTAATCCAATAAAATACCTAATTTATTTTTATAATTTTATATGATTGATTTTTGCTCTTTAATTTTATTTTTTACCCTTTCGCCTCTATTAAATGCACTAAAGCATTTGTTAACACAATTTTTAGAAAAAAACTATCCTGATAAGTATTTATGTTATAAATAATAAGAAAACTCCGCAAGTAAATTTAGATTTAATCCAATTTTAATTGGATTTTAATTAGTACTACTTTTGTACTAAAAAGGATCTCATTTTATTACCCAACACGCTCAGCAGCGAGATTTACGTAAACGCACACTATAGCCCGAATTTCGACGTACTCGAATGTGACCGTCCTTCAAATGACCTCTACACCTATAGTCATTGTTTAGCAGGGCATTTATGACTTTCGCATAAACCTTCGAGACTTTGAGACTGTCCACGTAGTAACAAAGTGCCGTTTTCCGCTCCTACCGAAACTCAAATACCTTTGAAGTGCCGACGGATCCGTTGCAGCCATCGCTGAGCTGAACTCGCCCGTCTTCAGGGTGGACGTATCAGGCGTCCACACCAACATAGTCATCGTGCACTTGGACACGCTCCGCGTGGACCCTTCCGACTTCAAACGCAGATTAATGACGGTCGATGACTCCGACCCGGTGAAGGTTGCCGTCAAGTGCAGCCAGAGGGACGACTGGGTACGATTGGTCACTTACTGGGAGGTGACCGACGACGACGTTGACCACGCGATCGAGAAAATTCGATACGTCGTTGGGCAGTTTTAGTTTAGGTGATCCCGTTTGGTTTTTGTTTGTATTTTCGTAAAATCGGATTTTGGTTTAGAATCCACGATAAAAAAAAAAGAAAATGAAAAACTACCGATTATAATAATAAAACAGACCGTAAACGTTACAGTTCTCTTTTTTGCCTTAAAATTGAAATCAATCTCGTCAATTTCATATAACAACGTATATATATTTATATAAATTTTTTCATCATCTCATCGTATAAAAACTATATTTACGACATCTCGAAATTGGTCGCTGCGGGACTAACGGTAAAACAAAAATGGGGATGGGGGGATGAAAAGAAAATTATCGTTAACCTAAAGCCCAAAACCTCAAAACTACCGAATAAACACCTAACTTTTGTACATAAAATATAAAGCACGCGCGGTTTGGGGGGTGGGACGTTCTGTTCGTCGATCCGTAACAAAAAGGGGGTGTCGGGGGCCGGGGGGAACGCCGACTTATCACAATTCCGCCGTGTCTCGAAAACCGCCATTCCGGAGGTGCTCCCACCCAGCCCCCCCCCCCCCGAGCCCTATGCCGGGGCGGAGAAGGTTTGAGCACGCTATTTTACGTTTTTTCTTAACACCGTTTAGGTGGGCTGCAAATCACAACCGCTGATATCCAAGGTGGCTAGTTCATAAACATGTTAATAGTCAAATATTCCAATGTTGTCGGAAGTATTATCACTCGATATTATAACCTTTAAAAAATATATTTTTAATTCGTTTCTAGTTATTTCCCTTTTATATCTGGTAGAAAATTCGGTATATTTTTTTTTGAAAAAAGGAAAGGAAACCATTAAACGACTAAAAAAGCCTTAAAAAAAGTCAATAAATATTTTTTAACAACAGAACACTTAAACTTCTGAACTATAGAATAAAATCGCCACAATTGTTGTCCAACTAAATTTTTGCATTAAAAAAAAAGGTTTATAAAAAAAGTGTCTCCATCTACATGGTCACAATTGCAATAATATTAAAGACCGAAGTTTATCAAAATATTGTGTGGATAGATTATATTATGTTTTTTTAATGCACACAATACTAAAATAGTGTTCAGCAAAAATGCAATAGCAATTAGGAAACAAAATTACAATGGAGCGATGATTTTTTGTTTAATGGGGAGAAAATACTAAAACCTCTTCAACAATCGCATTTTAAAAAAGTATTTGTAAATACTTTCAATCCCCGAATGGTTTGGTAATACTGATATCGCGGCGTCAAACTCTCCGCGCACCCGCATATACATAACTATCATTACAACCTGTACGTTATCATATAAAAAGGCAATAAATTAAATATGTAATATGTTCATCTGTCTTATGTACAAACAATCGTATTTAGTGCCGTTCCGGAGATCGAGGGGGCCGCCGTCTCGGCGCGGTACGTTTGATCTACCCGACCATCCTTCAAAATACTCGGCGCGGTCTGTTCGAACTACTCGGGGGCGGTGCGTTTGAGCTACCGGGCAGCATTCGCAGTACCCGCCGAGAACCACCACACTAGTTTTTTCGAACTAATCAGGCGCGGTCCGCTTGAACTACTCGCCGCCCGAGACGGCACGGAGCCCCGACCCTCAGTTCGGCATAATCGAAATACCGTCGCCGGCAGAAGGCAGCACCACCGTGCTGACCTGGTTGCTGTCGTCATCGGTGGACACCTGGATCTGGTGCTGCGGCACCTGGATCTGTACCGGGATCTGGATCTGACTGTTCGGTCCCTGCAACGACGATACCTCGTCAATAAGATCGAAATAAGGCAAAGAGGATTACTTTCTTTTTTAGGAAAGGAACACCGAAAGCAAAAATTTGAGATAATCATTTTGTTTTTTGTGGGCCTTTATTCAAAAATTAATTTTAAAATAAACTGCATATTCCCACATTGCCACATTTGCCATCGAACGTGTCTTCTCACTCTTTACTATTTTTTAAAAAATATGGAGTAACAATAATTTACTCAATTTAAGTGTAAGCATTTTTTTTGTTGTAACTTTTAAATCTTTTTACTATTTTTCGGGTTCTTGCTTTATTTTCGTTCGTTTATCCCTCGATGATAAAAGGACGGGGATTTGTCAAAAATTATTTTCCCAACTTTAGTACAAGAAAAATAGGCAAATGGAAAATCTGTTAAAACTAGTTTCACCATTTCTTTTTTACTCTGTGGTCTTTAAAATTGCATTTCTATTAATTTTAATGTTTCCATACACCATACACCTTTCTTAACAGATAACAAATTCATAAATTTCGAGAAAATTTAAGTAAATACTTAATGCCAAAACTTGCAGGGAACTTTATATGTGAGAAGGAAAATTTACTAAAATAAACTATTGGGTTGTTCGGAAAGTCATTTCGTTTTTTTTGGGGAACATGAAAGACAGTTTTCGTATAATGAATAAATATTTTATTAAATTATATATTGGCCATTCTAGTCCAACACCTTTTGCCATCTTTCTGGCAGTAACATAATTGCCCTCTCATAAAAGTTTTGGTCCTTGCTGGCAAAAAACTGGTTCAGGTGGTTTTTGACATCTTCATTTGAGGTAAAGGTTTTGCCATCCAAAAAATTTTGCAGGGACCGGAACAAATAGTAGTCGGAAGGCGCCAGATCTGGAGAATATGGTGGATGTTGCAGTACGTCCCATTCAAGCTGTAAAAGTTTTTGGCGAGTGACCAAACTTGTGTGAGGTCTCGCATTATCCTGGTGGAAAACTACACCCTTCCTGTTGATTAATTCGGGCCTCTTCTCTTTAAGTGAATCATTCAATTTGTCCAGTTGATGACAATAGACTTCTGAATTAATCGTTGTATTGTCCCGCAAAAGCTCAAAAAAAACGATTCCTTTGACATCCCACCAAACGGAGAGCATCACCTTTTTTTGGTGAATGTTGGCTTTTGACACGCTTTGAGCCGGTTCATCTTTTCTGCTCCATGACCTCTTGCGTTTAACATTGTTGTATACAACCCATTTTTCGTCCCCAGTAATAATCCGCTTCAAAAATGGATCATTTTCTTGACGTTTGAGGAGCAAATCACACACGTCAACGCGACGACACAAATTTCGGTCCGTAAGGACATGGGGCACCCACACATCGAGCTTCGAGGTTAAGCCCATGCCTTTCAAATGGCCATAAACAGTCGAATTCGACAAATTTAATCTCTCACCGATCTCTCGTGTGGTTATTCGCCGATTTGCATCAACTAATGCCTTTATCGCATCTTTGTCAGCTTCGACCGGCCTTCCAGACCGTGGTGCATCTTCGACATCAAAATTGCCGGATCGAAATTTTGCAAACCAGTTCTGGCACTGGCGTACTGTTAACACGCCTTCTCCATACACATCCGTCCATTTTTTTCTCGCTTGGATAGCATTTTTACCTTTTCTGAAGTAAAAAAGTAAAATATGACGAAAATGCTGCTTATTGCTCTCCATATTTAAAAGGGCACCAACCAAAAACTACTGCGTAGAATTAATAGAACTTTTTCACACACGAGCCTTGCAATATCAGCTCTCAAGACATATAATGGTTATGCGGCTTAAGTGTGAAGTTGGTTTCGAAAAAACGTAATTAAGTCCTCTGACGGGAAAAAACGAAATGACTTTCCGAACAACCTTATAAAATCAGTAATATAATAAGTATATGTGACATGCAAAATCAATTCCTCATAATTTAATTCACTTATTTAAATTTATTCGGGATAGAAATCCTACAATTTAAGACTCACTTTGAACACTTACACGATTATTGTAAAAATCATGAAACCACCACAGATAATTAAGCTCCCGTCTAACATAAACAAAAACCATTAAAAAACATGTCGGTAAAAATTAATTTCGGCTTCTCCATTTTATTTTGCCTCTTTAATTAATAATTAATGAATTTGTAGCTAGCAGATATCCGAAAAAAAAATCAGTCTATTTCTCGATTCCTATGTTTTTTGTGAACATAAACAAAAACCACTAAAAAAATATGTGAGCAAAAATTAATTTCCGTCTAGTAATTTTATTTTGCCTATTTATTGTGCCTCTTCAATTGATAACAGCATGATCTGCATCTCGTAGTTTTAAATTAAGTTTGGACAAGCGCTCGAGTCCACAAATCATTTTATTTACTGCCTCCTTCACTCAAAAAAAAATCTTTAAAAATCCCCACAAGGAAACTTATAATATATATTTAGTCTTAATTTTTTCATAACGTTTCGTTTTATTCTAGTTGTTTTTTTTTGTAATTCTGTGGCCAAATTTGCTCGTATTTATTTTATAAAATTTATTTTTCTTCTAGTATTTTTTTCTGTTCTTTGCATAACTCTACACTTCTCTATTTCATTTTGTACTTATTTATTCACTTATTCTTTTAACCAATAATTTAATAATAACTTATTACTATTTTACGCGTTCCCTTTTGCAAAAAAAAAATCAGCGGTATAGAGTGCCCAAACTTACCCCGCCTCCTACTTGTATCGTGACCTGCGCGGTACCGTTGGTGATGGTTCCGCTGGCCGCCTGCAGGTCGTCCGCGGGTGCCGCACCGTTGCTTCCCTGCGATTTGAGCAGCGCTTGCGCGCGCTCCGCCTGCTCTTTGGCGCGCCGCGTGATGTGACTGCGCGTGTGCTTGCGCAGATGGTCCTTCCGGTAGAAACCTTTGCCGCACTCGCCGCAGATTTCCGTCTTCTCGCCCGAATGAATGACGAAATGGAGGTTGAGGTGCTCTTTCCGCTTGAAACCTTTCATGCACACCGAACAGACGAACGGACGCTCCGGATTGTGACCGAGCTTGTGTCGTTCGAGGTGCTCCTTGCGTTTCAGGCCGGCACCGCAGATGTCGCATATGAAACGTCGCTCGATTTTGTGTCCGACGAGGTGCTGCTCGAGCAGTTCCTTCTCGGGGTACGCCATATGACACTCGGGGCAGCAGAACAGCGTCGTGCCGTCCAAAGCGGTCGCTATGTGCACCTGAAGGAAAAAATCCAATCTTCGACGTCTCGTCGGGACCGGGGGAGCAACTTACCTGGCCGGGCTTGGGTTTTTTCGGTTTCGGCGGTTTCTTCTTGTACTTTTTCTTCTTTTTACTTTTATCCGCAGGGTCTTCGACCACATCCTCCGGCTGCAGCTCCGTGACAACGTTGTTCATGATGAGGTGCTCCTGCAAATTGAACTGTGTCCGTTTTCGGGAAGACCCAAGCGTTAGAACACCAAACACAACACGGGGAAACGCAAAAAAAAACGCACACGGAAAAACAAATTAACGAAGTGTTAGTAAAACGCACAAAAAATGGCGGTTTAATAGAGGTCGTAAGACTGATTTTTATTTGGTATAGGCGTGTACCGGACGATACTGACCAAAAGAGTTAAAAAAAATTATTTTAATCAAGAATGGTTGAAGTTTTGGATTAAATTTATCTCAATTTATTATTATTATTATTATTAATGCCTTTATTGTTATAACCCTGGATACTGTTCAGGCCTTGCTTTGAGTAGACACTTTCAAATTGCAATTACAAGTCAACAGATCAAATAATCCAAGTAGCTTTAACTGAATTACTATTACAAGAAATGAGAGAGGAACAGAGGGCTTAATACTTTGAATTGTATGAATAAGTATTTTATCAAATATAATAAGGACGGAACTAATTCGTCGCTTCTTTCAATAATTACTTTTGAATACTGATGGAGACTGATAGTTTGAGCAATATGATATGCACCGGATATTTTATGCGTTTCTTTTCTCGAAATTGTGAAAATTACTTTCCAATTTATTTAAATTCCCTGATATTACCAAATTTTCTAATCTTATATAGAAAAAGTAGGTTCTGAAAGTTTTTAACTGACGTATTTTAGTATACAGCGATTAGGGATTTCAGTGAAATTCCAAGATACTTTAGAGTAATTAAGGCGATTTCCGGTATTTGGGCAAATTTCAGGGTATTACGTGCGATTTTCGAGGATTCAATCGCGAACACTATTAAAACATGTGACGAAGCGCTGAGATAAATGCATGGTGAAGATTAGTAATCCTCTCTAGTGTTAAATATATTTTTTTTAAATTTATTAAATTTTTTGCCCGATTTTATTGACATTCGGAAGTTGAACTAGATCAAAAGTGTGCTTGAAAAACTTTGGGATTGTCGAAAGAATATTAAAAATGTATCCATTTTTTTATTGTTTTTGATAATCTTTGCTTAAGGTCCGATTTTGCTAGAATACGAACAAGAATTAACAATGAGCTAAAAGCAGGGTTTTTTTTCCAAAAATTTCAACACCAGCACGACACGAAAAACAACAGCGAAAACTACAGTCCACTTCAGCTATATCGAAAATAACAAAAAAAATCATACACTACAATACAATTCAATACAATTACAAATTTCTGAAAAATATAATATAGAAAGGCTGATTTTTTCTCTTGCTCAACTGTTCCGCGACCGTCCATATTTTATCTTATGACGTCACAAAATCATCGGAATAGAAATTCGAAAACCTTGAAACATTTCGGGGTACTTTAAAGCCAACGGGGGAATTTTGGGGGAATTTCAAGTTGGAACTCGGAATATAAAAAAATGGGTACTCACTTGATCGTCCGAGTTCGACATGTTAACCGTCTCGATGATGCCGTCCTCGGTGATCAGTTCCCGCTTGACATCGGGCGAATTAAATTTCAAGTACTGATGCAGCGACGTGAGCGGCAGGCTCTGCGCCTGCACCTTTTGTATGTACTCCTGCAAGCTGTTCATGTTCTGTAGGTACTGCGCGGGCACGGTGATCGTCTCGGGCTCCGTTTGCTGCAGCTCGTTGTCTTTGATCAACTCACTCTTGATCAGGGCGACCGGCATCGGTTGATCTTTGTCGCCCTTATCGTCCTGCTGCATGGGCTCCGTTTGCGCTTGGATCAGCTGGATATCTTGGGGCTGCAGAGCCGCGACCACGGTCATGCCTTCCATTCCGTTTTGCCCGTCCAGCTATCGAAACATATACAGGCGGTCAAGTATAGGAACCCCATGGTTTAAAGGAAATTGTAATGTTCATGATACTTACGATCTGCAATCCTTCCTGATTGGAATTGTAGGCGACTGTAAGTACGGTCGCGCCCTGTCCGAACGTTTGAATTGGTATCTGGGAGATGTGGTACTTTGGGCTGCTGCCCGGACTGGCCTGAGACACCGGCGGGTTGGGATTCACCACCTGGATCTGTACGGTCTGTTGGGGATCGCCGGGTTTAGCTCCGGGCATCGTTATGGGCAGCGTGATCAGGGTTTGGGCTTGCTGCCCGGGACCCTGACCGCTTTGCCCTCCCGCGGACGCCTGCGCGAACGCGTTCGCGTCCAACGGGCGTATATAATGGACGCCGTTCTCGCCGCCTGCAACACACACCCCATTTTCAAAAAATTGTCCTGGGGTGGCGACTAAAATAAACTCTCGGGTTCTGCCTATACAAATACACTTAACAACAAACCGCCGTATACAAGGTTCCCACTAAATTTCCGGTTTTCAGTATTACTGCCAAAACTTTGACTTTGCGAGTGGGAACCTCGATATAGCCTCCGCCCAATCGTCATACGTGGGCGAAACCGTTTTGGGCGGGGTTTATTTACAGCACCGCCCCTTTCGCGAGCGATGGGCGCGGTTTCCGCTGATAGTCGAGAGCGATTGGTTCATTATGGGTTTGTTACCTTGAAGGACGCCGACCACCTGGCCACTGGGCGTGGTGACGCTCTGCGTGATTTTGCCGGCGGAGAACTGCGTGGCGACGGGCAACGCCGCCGACAGGGGGACGCCGAACGACGCGAAATTCATTTCAGAGAGACGGGTTCGTTAATTCTGTAAATAAAATGGCCGTTTCACTTTCTCGTACAGTGACGACATTGCCAACGTTAATCTAAATAGATTTTTTTTTAAATACCGCTGATATGTTATTGTAAAATAATAAATGTGGCGGCAGTAGGTTTCATTGGAACCACAAAACTATATTTCATACGATTACGAACGAAACTGGGAACCAAATGCACAATAGGTTTTCCGGTAATACGATTAATCGACATATTTGACAATTTTGCGGGTGGTTAAAGCGATTGTTTCGTTTTATTCAATTGTTTCGATAAGGAAGCGACAGTATGACGTCTAGTAGACTGACGCTTTGAGTGTGTCGAATTACTTGGTTAATTGGGAATATTTTTTCGTTAAAGCACTTACAGCAATTCGAAACGAATTAAGAAATTATACAATTTTAAATTCAATATAATATTCGAAATATCTTTTTTTATGTTTCCTGTCACAAATCAATAAAAAAAATTGATATAAAGCAGTATATGGTCTATATATTTTAGGATCGTTTTGATTGCTAGTTTCAGAAATCTAATAATTATAAACTAATCAAAATGGAATCGTAGTAAATCGCGAAACTGAAACATTTTACCTCAAGCCGGGCTATAAATTCAAAAATAAAATCTTTGAAATTTTTAGGGTGTTAACTTCGCCGCCTATAGTAAAGTTCGTTTCCAAAAAAAAACTGTTTTTTACAAAAATTGAAGGCATATATTTTCACATCTGTCACATTAAATATTACAATTGCTTGTTTGTATTAAATTTTTATATTACCTACCCATCGCATATCTCAAAACAATTAAACCAAAATTATAATTAATAATAAAATTCAAATTTAACAAAATGTATAAAAACAACACCAAAATTAAACGCATTAACAAAAACAGTTCATCCCTATATTCCACAGACTAAATCCAATGAATAACTAAATAATTAATCAATCCTGCATACTTAGTTTTATAATCAATAGGAAAAAGACCATTCCTTTTTGGAACGTTTCGCCTCCATATTCAAGCTTTTGCAACCCTACGTGCCACTTATAGAAACTCTATTGTGGAAATATTGTTTGGTGGAAACCAAAAAGAAATCTGCTAAAAACCGATCAGTGCACTTAAGATTCAACAAAATATTCTAATTCTAATCTTGTAAAAAAATGTTAGCTCACCATCGACAAGCTATGCGACAAATAATTCTCAAGTAACTTTCGAATATTTCCAGTGGGTTTTCCAAATATCGGATTAATCTCGAAATCCGGAAAAATTTGAAAAATATTTTGTAGATTTTTTTTACTATTTTACTAGAATAATTTATACTTAATGACATATAATTTCTATTGTTTCGTAACCAATATCATGTATAAGCTCGGAAATAACATAACATTGTATAATACGTAACTTAAACCAGTGAATCTAAGAATACGCTAATCAAGATCTTGTAGCAAGGGTTGACGCAAAAGAAAAACTCCTGCTGATTCTACACTGGTAGGTTGTAAAACATATCATCAGATTTTCCCTTTGTGTTAGTTGTATCGGTCTTATAGAGTTAATTTTTGACACTCGTAGCTGGTTTCAGTCGACTGAGTGGAAACTAATCGTCAGAGTCAGAGTCGTTGTTTTAGATTTATTATGTTGGCTGCTGAAGCCAGCTCTCGACAATATTTTCAAGGTATTTTTAACAAGAGTTGCATTTTTTTCGCAAATTAAAAAAATATATTCTCACTGTCTTTCTTGTTGGCATTTTGCAGATGGTCCATTATGGTTCTTCGTTCTGGTATTCTTTTTCTTAAAGACTCTTCCTAACTGCTAAACTTTGTTTTTAGATCATCTAACACCCGAAACAGACATATACAGTCTACAGTTAGTTCTCAACAATGGACAACGTTCTGTGGGACTTCAAAATCTTTTATTTGTGACTATTATTATCACCAAATAAAACTGTTAAAATTTGAGGATTTGGGGACGGACCAGTACATAATTTCTATAAAATTATATGTAACTAAAAGATATGGTTGAAGAGGTATCGATATAGAGGAAACACGTCCCAAATAAGAACAACCTTTCTTTCCTACAGCTAAAAATTACTTATGTACGAATAATCAATAAATAAATAGAAGAAGCGTGAGAACGGTGTTGTAGTAGTCGATCCGCTGCAAGGTGAAAAACGTTTTCCTTCACGGTAGACGGCCGTTGGGCTAATGGTAGCGTCGATAAAGAAAACGCAACGTTTCGCTTAAAACTTTCATTTTGATCGTACCCTTTCATTAACCGTTTCTTTACAATTTTCTTGTACAGGCAGCCGATATCTTTCACGATCTTGTTGCGGTCAAGAAATCGACGAGTATTTTCGAAACGGGCTTTACCTTTCGATTAAATCAAAAAAAAAAACTAGTCTCGGCGGAACGCGCGGCGTTCCCGAAAAAGAGACGGCGCCCGACGTCGTCCTTGGACGAACCCCTCCTGCCCTTATCCACTCTGGCACCACTCTTGTCGTCGACACCACGCGAGCAGCATACGGCACACGCCACAAGAGGGGATGGTGGCTACAAAACCTGGCACTGCGCGCATCACCACACCAGAACGGTACTGTTTGCTACTTGCTGGCCATCGACTTCCGAAGAGGGGCCGCGGACGCGGGTACCGCTGCGTTTCTAACGGATTCACGTGCCCGTCGTAACGCCGTCTTCGTCGCGCACTCGCGCGACGACGGAGACGGACAGCGCGTCCGTAGAGGCACCCGGACCCGGAGAAATCGACGGCGACGACGTCCTAGTTACCTACATTACGAAAGGTACTTTCACCTCTTCGGCCGCGCCGTGTGATTTTTTCTTCCCGGCGCCGGGGGTTTCGCAACATTTATGTATAAAGGGCGGAATTTATCCGCACTTAAATTCAGTCATACCGGGTGTCCCTGTGAGGAATTTGAAAAAAACCACCACTTTTGCAAAATTTCACAACAGCTGGGACAAATTGAAAACTTTTTTGCTTAATGCTCCCCGCTCTATCGGAAATTAATGGCGGTAACGTCAAAAAGGCGTAACGCAGTTTAATAAGCTTTTTCTAAGCTATCAATCGATAAAATAATTTTAAACTCGCTTTAGGGGCTTTAATAAACGACCAATGATATTTAAAACCGAAATAAACTTTCGTCATTTACCTTTATTATTTTGTCACAATACCTTACTCGTTTTCAATCATTTATTGTTAATAATAACAATAATAATAGTTTATTACCACCAAATTTTGACAAAAATTGACCGAAATAATTTTAAAATTACGATGACATTTGTATTTATTTATTTATATTCTGCGTTAAGTCGCAGTCACGTCGTTCTGAGAACTAAATGGAGTCGATATTTTTATTGGCGTTCCCGGAATGGCTAAGTATCGTATTCGGGTATTCCTTGATAAGTAAATTGGACATCACGCACGCATACGTACTATTAATTAATGGTCGATAACTGTCTACAAGACAGACAGCTTCGAACTTCTTCTAAGCATAGAATTCTAAATTTTGAGCACAAAGTGTAACAAGTGTGACCCCTGTTCTGTATAGTCTTTATTTCATTTCATTGGGCATAACGTTAACTAAGTCAGATGTTCCAAAAGTCATCGGCCCGGTTTTGGGAGTGTTAAGTTTACGGGAATTGTCAAACCACCTCATCATGGTCTCCAGTGTAAACCAACCAAAGTAGCCTCAGGTCTACACCACGGAAGGTAAAGCACTTGACAAGACAATTGGCATATAGTATTATGTAAAGTATATTAATGAAAAATCATTAAAAGTAGATTTAGTTACTAATCAGTTTTTGGAGACTAATTAGTTCTATCATCAAAATCATTTATAAGGTTTTAAAGGTTCGGTGGCCATGTCAAAAACTCGAAAATAATTTCTAGCATTTATTTTTCGCTCTCTTACTTAACGCATTATTTTCTTAAATGTCCAGGACCTTCCATTTTTCTGGGGGACACCCGGTATATGCTTTTTGGCCTTTGAAATATGCGCTGTTTTTGACCGGATAACCATACCGGTATGTACTGTTTCTTAATTTATTATAGTAGAATAGTTAAGAAACACGATAGAATATGAGAACATAGAGTATTGGAGAATCAAATGATTGTAATAAAATGGCAATCACACCAGTGGTGTAGGGTCAATCAGCCACTGGCTCTTCTGGTGATAGGGTAGCATAACCTAACAGAGCGTACAGTATTCTACACTTCCCAGTTATGGGGAAAATACCTTTTTAAATAAAACGCCCAATAAATCAGTAATCACATTGATTAAATCGTAATATTTCCAACTCAAGTTTATATATTTCATTTTAAATAGCCCTGAATAGAGGTACATTTTAAATTTAGAACCCAAGGGTGAAATTTCCTTTGCGACCAAACAGATTTCATCTCTGGTTTCGATTATGAACGAGAGCCACTAGCAAAAGCGAGAGTTTGGTACAGTCTACCGCTCGTGCTTACGAAACTACTTTCCTTTCCATACCCATTACGTCTACGGCCGCGATAGGTGCCGTGGAATTTCGCAGGGAATATCGATTATTTTTCAAATTCGGTTGGATCGGTTCTGTGCGCGTAACGCGAAACCCGCAATTTTCAAGGCGACACGCTAATAATTCGAACGAACATCTACAAGGATTTTGCCGCCCATTAGCGGGGCGAATTGTAGCAGCGGCGCCCGACCGCATTTTTCTCGCACCATATGCGCGAGGCCAAAATCACGTATATGAAATTTGAACTTCCTTAAGATGTTTTCCTTGATAACGCATAAATAAGTCAGAAGCGAAGTGCTCAGTCAAACTTCGTCGCGTCTCATAACGCGATCAGAACGGTATTGCAACCATAGTAGTCTACCATTTTTCACAATTAATAAAACTTGTTTTACGCGTTTTGCTGGTAAATTGTTTAGTCTCAAACTGGAATATAAACAACGAATATCTAGTTTAAATTTATACCGATGAATGAAAAATGCTGATAGATTGCTTATCGGGTTATGGCTTAACCTAAAAACTCACTAACTCTTAAACCAATTTTATTTGCAACATTTCTCGTAGATGCGTATATTTCGTACGTGAATTCTAATTTTAAAGTTTTGCGCGAAATGTGCAAAAATATGGCTTGTAAATTAAAAAAAATAAAATAAAATTGCTAGAAATTTCCTTTGTATCTGACGACTCGCTGAAAAATCCAGCCAAATTTCATAATACGCATCTAACAAATTTGCAGAAACAACACAAAATAAAATATTGTTTTAATCGACGGACAAAAAAATCACTGTCGCGCCTATGATTGTCGTAGACATGCAAACTCTACTAGATTGTTGTTTTCTAGCCGCTTACAGCGTAGACCAACTGCGGCGTCATAGAAAAATATGAGGCCCGCAACAATGGAGCTATGCGAACACGTTCGAAAACAATAATAATTATGAGAAATGAAAACGACGTGCCGCCAAAATGAACGAAGCCCATTTTATTTTTAACGTAATTCGAGCAAATTTACGCAATCTGATCGATATCCTATTCGCCGTATTTTATTGACACAACCGATTGGCTTATTTCCGTTAATCTGGGCAGGTGATGGCGGAGCATCTGTCGTCGATTTTCACTCTACCTGCGAAAACCCGAATCGTTTCTGCCAATTTGGCGTTACATGACAATGATGGCCGCGGGATACGAGTCGAGCGCCCGAAAAATTCCGCGGAAATATGTCGGGAAGGTCGTCAACCTTGAAACCCGCAAACGTGAGAGCGAAAACGAATCGGATCCCGGTATCTATGGCGATGACGCTGCCCAAACGTGGTGGAGGAAATCCACCACCACTTTCTAGAGTTTGTGGGGATGAATATTGCACGCTACGAGCACCCCTTCCACAAATTTCTACATCACGGCGACGAAGCTCCCTACCCTTGGACGTCCCCGGCCCGCGAAATCTTACGTGTTATCGGTCGCCGTCGAAGCATACCGAAATTTTGACACTTTGTCGCAAAATCGACGCACTTACCTCGATCAAAACGTTCGAAAAGTCGCGGAAAACTCGCGATCACTTCACTTTGCACTAATTCATCATGTCGGCCGACTCTCTGTGCCTTTCGACTAGTTGGCTTTGCCAAGAATTTCTTGTTGAGCGTGCGACGTCATCATAGAGGGCATTTTAAATACAGTTATGAATTCGAATTTCGGCGGGAAACCCGTCGTTTGTTGGGTTACAAAAAATTTCGATTTGTACGGTTTTTCGATCGTGTCGAAGCACAAACCTACCTGTGACAATTGTCCGCTATCTCGTCCACGCATCGAAAATTCGATTTTTAGTACTTTCGATTATTAACGAGTCATTATAATTTATTTATTTTTAAGATGTTTACGGGTAACTGTTGTATAATAAAATTGCCAAAAAAAACACTTTCGTTATTAAACTAACAGACTAGACGCTTCAAGGAAAATGCAAATAAAGAAAACTAAACGGCATTTTAAGGTTAGTTACATAACCGAATTTCCTTGTCTTCTTCAGTAAAACGAAATAGATTTTTGACACAAAAACATAACAGAGTAAATTTGATTTTTCATTTTTTCAAAGCTATGGAGTCTGATAACACAATTGTCTTTTCAATTGACCACGCGAAATTCAAAATGAAACCTGCCTGATGTGTGATGTTAAACTTGGTTTAAAATGTATTGTTCTAAAAATTTCTACATTATGGCATTTATTTTGACAAAATTACGCCTAAGACGCATTTGCCAGGCTGATTTACAATAAAGTTTTGCACTATATATGATAGTTTCAGCGACACCTATAAAAACATGTAAAAAAAGAAAGAAAATTTATAATACATAATAAATACAACCTAAAAATACTTCATTCTTTCACTCCAACATCGTGCTAATCGAAATTCAATAATAAATATCTGTATGCGCACTCTACACTTGATGACAGCCCCTTTGCAGTCTCTCAATGTACATCTCGAACAGCAGTTTGTTAATATTGAAGTAGTGAGGGTTCTGATTTTCATCAAGATCCGGAGAATATTGCGTGGAATGCGTCCAATCTACACCCGGTTCCGAGTTGGGCGGTGATTCTGGAAGCTGATGAGGCGGACCTGGACCCCACTCGATTGGTGTTAAAGGAGACACATCCATTGCCATACCGTTGTTTATGTGCAAGTTATTGATACGTTTGGACAGAGGCATAAATTCGGCTTCGTCCTGGAACGGACGCTCCCTTTTTCTGGAATAGACGTGGTAAATGAGAGATTAAGGTTTGCAATAACAGTGGATTCCAATCCATTATCACATAAAACTATACGAATTACCTTTTGTGAGTCATCAGAACTCATTAATTGTTACAGTCAAACACTAGACACAGTTTTACTCAGTTCAAAATATCACCCTGGATTTTAACAAAAAAAATTTAAAATGAAATTGATTTATTTTGAGATGAATGATTATAATTGGATGGAACAAACTGCAATAACAGAGATATTTAGAAGTTGGTTAGTCTCCCAACGCACTGCGGATTACCGAACGCGGTATAATTTAGCAAACACCAAGGAGCGAAAATTTTATGTTGGTAGCAACTGACTTTAAGTCATTTTTGTATGCGATTTTGATGTATTTTCGTTAAATAAAAGGGTTTTGTGTGATAAATGATGCCTAAATTTTTGACAGGTTCGAAAAACGCGTGTTATACAATGAAACGTTAGGTTTTTGCTGCTTTTAATTGCGCCGTTACGTTATTTAATTGCGTTTACCTGTAATCTTCGCCTAAATTAAGTCCGAGACAGGAAATATAAAAAATGGCCAGGGTTTGGGATGTACTCGTTTTTCTCGTAAAGGAAGAGAATTTCTCGATACCCAAATACAATAGAAAAGTGAAACTAAGAGCGGACTACGACCCTCAGGGCATAAGTATTAAGTTGTTAGAAGTGGATGAGGCTACAGAGCTGTTAGAATTCCCAGTCGAATCCAGCACCGAATGCTGCAAAGTCGGACTCAAGTCCTACTTGTTTTCGCTCGACAATGAATCCTTATTAATTAAATTTAATAGTAAAGAAGAAGCTCGAGACTTTACACTGGTAATGACAAAGGTGAAGGTCGGGAGAGATGCCTCAGTGTTTTCGGTTAGAACAGAAGACTCCTCGGCTACGCAGTATTTTCAGTTTTACGGTTATTTATCGCAACAGCAGAACATGTTGCAAGACTTCATTAGGACTTGCACTTATCAGAGAGCTATATTGTGTAATTTGGATGACTTCAAAGATAAAGTGGTTTTAGATGTGGGAGCTGGCTCAGGTATTTATTATTAGATTATTAATAATTCCGCATTTTTTATACAATTAAGAACCATTAATCCAGAATTAAGCTTCTCCCCCTTGGTCACGCGTCTTTTTGTCAACAGTAATCCTTTACTATTATGTAAAATTTAAAAAAGTGTTTCCCATAAAACAGTTCCTCTTGATTGTTACCAAATTTTATTGAAAAATGAGTGGAGTCTAGAATATTATTAAAATGATGAAAAATTGTATCCCATATTGTATATTTAAAAAAAGGTAATTAAGCTATTGAACTTGTAAAAAAGTACATAAAGAACCTTTTTTTACTTTCAATATGCACTGTGTCTCAGGATAGATTTGACAAAAACGCATGTTTTTTGAGGCTTATTAATTTTCCTCTAAAGTACCTTTTGCCTCAGATGGGGCAAAAATTTATTTGTTAAAATTGCAATTATTTCTATATGCCAAATTTCATCTTCACTCAGCTATATTTTTTCAATTTATTTTTTGTTTTTGCAACAATGTAAGAAATAAGACTAGATCTCTATATCAAATTTCAAAACTCCAACCTTGATATCTCACTTTTTCTCAATAATTTTTACCTATCTCCTCCGGATTTTGGGAAAACGTAAAAATATCTTAATCAATTGATTCATGTCTGTTGTATGATGATATAAAAAGTTATGTTAGTAATTTCCAAGGTTCACCATGATTGTTCAAATCTCAAATTATGTTGGAAAATCAGTCTTCAAGCAAGCAAGAGTCGTTTCATCTATTAAAACCTGAAAAAAAACCAACTCGGAAACTAAACATAAATACATAAATAAATAAATAATGTTTGATTTTTGCAAACCAAAATTTCGAAGCCGTCTTTGTTGTTGTAATTTTCCTCGCTTACCGTTTATTCCGTTAATTTTCTTTTCCGCAAGGTATTTTATCTTTCTTCGCTGCTCAGGCGGGAGCGAAACGAATATACGCTGTCGAGGCTTCCACTATGGCCCATTATGCGCAGAAGTTGGTAGATGCGAACAATTTCTCTAGTTGCATTAAAGTTATACCCGGCAAGATAGAGGAAGTGGAACTTCCCGAGAAAGTGGACGTCATAATTTCCGAACCCATGGGCTACATGTTGTACAACGAACGTATGTTAGAATCCTACCTCAATGCCAAACGATGGCTCGTTCCGGGAGGGAAGATGTACCCCACCAGGGGCGATTTGCACATCGCCCCGTTCACCGACGATTCTTTATACATGGAACAATTTAGCAAAGCGAATTTCTGGTTCCAGACGTGCTTCCACGGTGTGAACTTGTCCGCGATACAAAACTGTGCCGTTAAGGAATACTTTAGGCAGCCTATAGTCGATACTTTTGACGTACGAATTTGTATGAGCAAAAGCATAAGGCACGTCGTCGATTTCTTAGAGGCGGACGAAACTGACTTGCATAGCATTTATATTCCCTTAGAGTTCCATATTTTGGAGTCGGGCACTTGCCACGGGCTCGCGTTTTGGTTCGACGTCGCGTTCATCGGATCCCAGCAGACTATCTGGCTGAGTACAGCGCCCACCGAACCCCTGACGCACTGGTATCAGGTCAGATGTTTGCTGGAGCAACCATTGTTGCTTAAACAAGGTCAAGTGTTGACTGGCTCGGTGCTTCTGATAGCCAACAAAAGGCAAAGCTATGACGTGACTATAGAGTTGACTGTCGAAGGCACCTCATTGACTTCAAAGAACACCTTGGACTTGAAGAATCCTTACTTTCGGTACACGGGCGCCCCGGCGCAGCCTCCTCCCGGTGAGTACCCAGAATTCATGTTATAGTGAGATGATTGGGGAAAACAGCTATCATTAATTTTTGTTACATTGTTGCGAAATGTAAACAAGGTCGAGTGTACAGGTGCCAGACTTACTAGGACAACTAACAAATTTGATTCCTGAAGTCGTATATTATTGATTGATTTTGGGTTATTTGTCGACCTAAAGGTGTCGCGAATGTGTCGCCCAGCGAGAGTTACTGGAGTCAACTGGACGCTCAAGGTGTGCGCAACGCCGTCAACATGGTCAACGGTATGTCCGTCAACGGATTAGGGGAGGTCTCGATGGATACCACTCAGACTTTAATCAACAATAACTTAATGGCAAACAACTTAATCGCCCTGGTGGACCCCCAGCACATGACAGAGACCGCCCAGCCGAACATTCATCCGGGTTGCATTCCCAGCACTGGCAGGGGTAAGTCGCTATATGAAAAGGCATTTTTTTTTGTTTCCGCGTCCAGATTTAACAACAATAATAATGATAGGTTTATTGTTAAAATCTGCATTTACAAGAAATGAAAAAGAAGAGGTTCTGTGGCTTGCAGTTGACAGTTGAAAGTGTGACCCTGGTAATTTTTTCTGCTACCACCACATTATCCCAAGTAGAAGGGAGGGAAAATTTTGCTCGTGGGACCGCAATCTCACATATTAGTTTTTTTGTTAATTTAAATGGTGTGGTTATTTTCTTCAATTAAAAAACCGCCCACATTATCCCAAGTAGAAGGGAGGGAAAATTTTGCTCGTGGGACCGCAGTCTCACATATTAGTTTTTTTGTTAATTTAAATGGTGTGCTTATTTTCTTCAATTAAAAAACCGGTTTCATCGTCATGGTTTTTGAGATATCCAGTTCTGTGTTCTTAGGTGTTTTGTATTGTCCAGTAGACAAAAACCTTTGGTGTAACATAGATGTCTCTGCTTGTTAGACAATTAATATATTATGCAACAAGTTTGATAGAAGGCATTTGAATCACGAGTTTTGTTTTGGAAGAGTTACTGAAAAAGTTTATCAAACGTGTAGGAGGGGTACATTTTTGCAAATCCCAGATCCGTAAGTAACATCCCTCAAATGTATAATTTTAATTTTAGACAAGGGAGTACAAAAGTAACTATAACTATTGCTACAATCAGTTAAGTCTTTACACAAAAGAAACCTATAGGGAGTGTTATTTGTAGTTGCAATTAAAAGAAAACAAAAATGTCAACTTGCCATCAGAAAACCATGTGGACTTATCATTGACTTCTTCTGCTGTGTTTTGCTTTTTTTTTTGCTTGTTGAAGTTTGGGTTAGTTTGGAAGCAATTGAATCTATTCAGTTGTAGAAACAGTATTTGGCACGAGAGGAACACAGTGGAGCCAAGTAAACGCTCGAGTCAAATGCCTCTTAATAAATAAAATATAGATAAGTTCGTCAAGAAGTATACTCTAATCTAATAACAAAACAAATCAAAGAATGGTTGCAGAAATTAAAATCCTTTGTTACTGTTTAAAAATAGAATTGAAATTGAAGAAATTGAAAAGAAATATTCCTTCCCTCGGTCGATTTACTTCTCTATGTGAGACTACCGATTCGCAAATGTACCCCTTGTACCATAAGAACATTTTTTCCAGGCAGAGTGGCCGCCAGCCCGACCTCCACCCACACCGCGCAGCTAATAGGCGGGGCGATATCGCCGTCCCTGTTCACCTCGCCACAGCAGCAGCAGCAGCCGCTGGTCATGGCCAACTACCCCGTCGCGCAGAATCTCATGATCGGCGACTACGTGAAGCCGGGCAACGGGATCGTGTATCGTCAGTAGGCGTTTGTAGGCTTTAGGTTTTTAGGACGCTGCGCGCCGTTTACGCTCAAAACTCGACGAGATTTTTTTTTTGTCTGTGCCCTCCTTTTTTAAGTTATTTTTTTTTCTTAGGTTTTAGGTGTGCATCGCGTTGTATTTATGGTCATTATAATGTAAGTGGTAAATTGTTGACGGTCGGACGGGCGGCGAAGAAGAAGCTTCCGCAAGTTAACCTCAATCCGCTTTTATATATTTTCCAAGGTCGCTTTAGGGCCGCGTAAGGCCTAGGTAGTTCGTTTGTACCGGCGTAAGCGAAGTAAGTCGATTAGTAGATCACGTGACGAAATCGCTAACAGGATACCCTTGCATAAAAATGAAAGCTATTGAAGCAATCTCAAGGCAATAAATACGGTACATTGGTGAAACATCGGCCATTTTGGTTGGCTTTGGGATCCAATAAGCTTTTGTAGGTGTTTCCTGTGATTATTTATCAGTGGTCTTTTATTCTACTTTCCAAGTATTAGAATTGGAAATCGAAGGAAATGGTAAATCGGTTTGTTTCGATCCCAAACTTCGACGGCTGCCAGGAACAGCCATCCTAGGTCACATTAATATAACGTATTTGACAGAATGGAAGCACAGGGGCACCCCCCTCGTGAGGACGCAATCGGTATCTTGGTGGTGTTATTAGTCATTTTAATCGCTATTGATCGATTTAGAGAGCCGATTCGCCTTTCCGTCCAACCGAACGGTGTGATTTTAACGTTAGTTTTATTAAAATTTAGATGAAGCAAAGTGGAAAACAATAATAATTTTAATCGAAGACGCGGCAACAGCAGGACGGATTGTTTCCTTTCCTCTCTTTTTTCCCTTCACTCGAAACGCGCGCTTTCGGCAATCCTCTAAACGAAGCAATTTTTAGTGTGTTCAACTACGAGCGTTTTGGAGTGCTCTTGTTTGCAGGTGTCCGTCATTTTTTTTGTTTGTTTTTTTTTACTTTTATCAGGTTTTTAGACTACGGAAGTCTGTAGTTCTTGTAATGATATTTGTCGACAGTGGTGCGGGTGGTCTCGGGAAAATTTAATCGGCGAGGCGCTTCTTCCATTACCGTTTTTTGCGTCGACGCTGGTTTTTCCGTCGTTAAATTTCCTCGCGACCTCCCGAGACATCACCGGTTTTAATTACTACTCTCTATATATGGGTAAAAATTGCTTGCCCGCCGTCGTTTTGTTGTTGCGTGTATGTTCGACCTCTCTTCCGTGTGAATTTTGTATGGATGAAGGCGTACCTGTTTAATAAAACGGTTTCATTTGATAACTGCCACAATACGTTGGAGTTTGTTTGCAATATTGCCCTTCTGAAGTTCCTGTGTTATCAGCAAAGGCAGGGCCGTATATCTATCTCTAGTAGCTATAGAGTTTAGATGCATTCGTTATATACGCGGCATCAATCTTTTTGCTCTAAAGTAAATGTAATTGCGATCAGATAAGTCGGACGTAAATCTCTTTGCTCGGAGTATTTTCACCGTCCTGAAAGATTAATCATTTTTATATTCGGTTCTTTGCATTAAGACCAAGAGCACGTATACAAATTTCATTTGGTGGCAATGACTAGCAACCAAAATTCGAAAGCACTTTTAAAACAGCAAATGAATAAAAATTCGCAAGAAACCGTAAAATAAAGCACAGATTAACAAAACAAGAGGTTGATCAATTGTCATTTGGTACGACCATTCGTTAATTGTTGTAATTATTTGCTCCAATTAATCTGCGTTTGCGGGATCTAAATATCCGTTTCGTCTTCGACGCAATCCCTGGGATTGTCTTTTGCTTCTTGAATTACATTTCCCGTTGCGATAAACACAATTTTCTAACAAATAATTGCTAGAAAATTGTGTTTAACAAATAACTAGGAAAATTTAAATGGTCCCTTAGGGATCAAATAACGACCCAATCAGATGTTGTGGATGTGTGTTGTGGAGTTTTTAGAAGGAATAAAAAAGAAACGTAAAATAAGAACCTTTAAAAGGTGACAATTGTAGACCACCAAAATAAAAGCAAATTGACTATTTTTGAAACTCAATGTGTAATATGCAATTATTAACAATTTTAATCAGTGAAAATGTTATGCCTTATCACGTGTGTAGGTTTTAAATAATGAACAAAAATATTGCCAGACTAAGTGGCCCAAAAAGCTCCTCGGGACAGTAAAATTTAAGGTTACTTTTTCCAAGCGGCATCGAAAGGACAGGCAAAATAGGGTTAGCAAAGGAATTTAGTTTAAAAATGCTTTCGCTGCATTGCCAATTATCAATCCAGTTATTTAACACGTTTAAAATTTCTTGGGATTTTGAGGCAGCTAACTTAAATGGTAACCATGGAGCATGGGGACGAAATAAAACACGGTAAAGGTTACATTGTATTGTAATTAAAGTGAAGGCGTTGTTACATGAAGCCGTAAAAATATCAAGCGAGCATCCACGATGTTTTTTTTTATATAAAAAATTTAGGATTGTCTTTACCCAAACTAACCGGTCAATCGGACAAACACGCACGCACACGAACACCACCGACGATATATCACATACCATATTATAAGCAGCGAAAAAGCCGAAAACATGGTTGGGAAAAGTTCGTCACGGCCAAGTTACACCCGAATACTACACGAAAATATATAGCTTCAAATGTCAGCGAAACACTAGCCTATCGATATTTCACTGCAATTTACAAAATCTTTATAAAACTTTTATAAACGTCTAGGTGTTGCGAAAAGTGCAACGCTTTCTTTTATTGCAGTTTTCTCGAAAAACACGTTTGCCGAATATTTAGATTGCTTATTGGGAACTTCTAGATAAATATAACGTCTACCAGGATCCTGCCGACTAGATAGAAATCGAAATTTTATTGCGTTTCCTTTCGTTTACACATTTAGATTATTTTGACTTAACATTTGTACTTTTTGTGTGTTCACAGAATACAAATGGGCGCTAAACAAAAAAAAAACTACGTTTTGTACCATGCAATTGTCGAACGAATCTAGAACCAGAATACTAGGAAATTTGTATCACAATATAAAAAATCTGAGGTAGTCTCCTTCATTTTAATTTTATAAACGAATAAGTCGTCATGCTGCCTCGATTCTGGATAAAATCATCTTTTGCTATACAAACCTGCACCGCACGTAGTGCCCCATGATCCGCACAAAATGCCCAATTGCGAATTCTACCGTCCAATAGAATTTTTTATTATCTACAGATTTTTTTCTTAGGTTTATCCAAACGCAGACATTTTATGCCTAATTATTTACAACCCTAACTTGTTTTACATCACAGCCCGGAAAAAGTGTCTTCAAAATTTTGAAACCATTAAACAGTAGAATCCTTACTTTGGTATCTTTCAAGGTCGCGACGACCGGAGTAACCACGGTTCGATCAATGCCAGTTGGCTCGAATTAATCATCATTCACCAACTCAAAAGATAGGAACCAAAATTGTGAATATGGCGGTGCATTAAGAATATGAAGGGCACACAAACGGAAGGTTTTGACTTTTGACAGTTAAAAAAAAATACAATCTTAGTTACTCCAGACGCGGTGACTAGTTTTTTGCGGTGGTGGGTAGCCATTAATAATTAATGCAAAACGGCACCCACCGGCTGCAGGCCGTGGTTCTGGTCGCCATTGCCCTGCTGGGACAACTCAGCCTTCACCCTACGGGCAATATGTGACCTAGTGTGCTTTCGCAAGTGGTCTTTTCTGTAGAACCCTAAGGAAAGAATTGGTAATGCAAATTTGTATCCCAAAAAAAATACACTGCTTAAACGAGCAGTTTCCAATAATACTGTGAAATTTATGTGTTTATGTGTTATCTAGTATTAAAAATTTTGGAAGGGCAAACTTTAAACAAAATTAAAATCATTTCTAAAAGCAACACAGAATAGACAGAAAATACTATTTTCATCTAAGCTCAAAAGAAGGTTATGCATTGCCAGTCCTAACAAAATTTCGGATTTGATTAGTTTTGGTTTCCGCGTCTTATGACGAGAATAATAATTAGAAGTCAATCAAATTTTAGTAATAATTGCTTTTTCGAAATTTCGCTAAACGTATATACAGGGTGTCCCCCAGGAACTTCGTTGATCTGTTATGGGAAAACCAGAAGAGCAAAAATTTAAAGATTTAGAGGTAAACTAATATATATCCGAAAATGCATAGTCTTCAAAATACAGGGTGTCAAACTTAAAAAAAAGGTTTTTTTAATAAATATCAAAAATATCCCTTGACCAATTTTATTGAAATTTGGTAGTGTTGTTTGTTGTGACAAAAGGGTCATTTAGGATTAATTAAATTCGAATATTTTTGGAAAAAAATGTAGGCGGCGGACTTTTTACCAGTTCTATTTCATTTTTTTTTCAAACTGGGCAACTAAATATCCAACTTTTTGTTTCTTGAATTTTATTTATATTATTTGTATTTTACTTCGTTTTCGAAAAAAAATAACAACAAATTGAGTGCAAGTCCCTAATTGGCAACAAATGCTAATTGGTTTGTTATTAATATATTTTTGTTTGGTGTGGTACCTATAGTTTTCCCATAACAGATCGACGAATTTCCCGGTGAGACGCCCTAATTTTGAGTCTTGAAATTAAATATTTTAATTTTGTTGGATTTTAAGATAAACCTGGCAAATTGTCGAACATGAAATGGTGACTTGCTTATCTATGGACTGACATACCACATTTTAAAAGATTTTTTTCTCTATAATTTCCAGATGTTCCGCGAAATTTTGTGTTCGGCCTCACTATAATAGTACACTACACTCTTTATTTTGGAAAAATTTTGTGTCCATCAAGTTAATTTAATTAATTTAACCATCTTTGAGGATTTACCTTTGCCACATTCGCTGCAGATGTGCCTTTTTTCGCCCGAGTGAATGACAAAATGTAGAGTCAGTTGCTCCTTACGCTTGAATGCCTTGAGGCACACAGTACATACGTAGGGTCGTTCCGGGTTGTGAGACTGCTTATGTCTGGTCAGGTGATCTTTGCGTTTCAATCCAGCCCCACAGATATCGCAAACGAACCTTCTTTCCAAAGTGTGACCCACTAAGTGCTGCTCGAGCAGTTCCTTTTCAGGATAAGCCATGTGACATTCCGGACAGCAGTACAGTGTGGAGCCGTCCAAAGCGGTAGTCAATCTTATTTCCCCTGGTTTGGGTTTGATCTTTTTCTCGTGGTCAGGTTTCTTCTTCTTCTTTTTCTTGGTGGTGGAGGGATGGCTGTGCAAGTGAGCTGTATTAATGGTGCTCAAATTGGTGAAACTGTTGGGTGGACAGTTTGAGTTTTGTCCGTCGTTTAACGGGGCACCGTTGCCAATATTGACGTTGTGGGCCATCATGGTTGGCTCGTTTAAATGCTGAACCGTCTCTTTTTTCAGAGACTCTGCGGAGTATTTCAGAAAGTGGTGCAAAGTTAGTGGCAAAGTCGATGTAGGTAACTGGGACAGGTAGTCCACCACCGAAGAGCTTGATTGCCATGGTTGCTGTTGATTCTGAGTGTCGTGGTGAAGACTGGTGAGCCTGGGCTCTTCTAACATTTTACCCTAGAATCAAATTTGGAAAAAACATCACACAAGATGCGAAATGCATAGGAGCTTGCCTTTTCACCAATATCAACTTTATCATGTTGATTTTGTAGCAAAACATTGCACAGTTCTTGGGTAACCTCTGGCGTCTTAGAGCCGTACATGGCTCTACTGTTTAAATAATTTCCATTGCATTTTGTCGGTATCGGTGACTGCTGAGTGGCGTGGTGGTGTTGGGTAAAAGAAGGCACCCCGTTGGCCGTGTAACTGTGCAATGACGAAGGGGTTTTAGGTAAAGTATCTTGAGTTGTAAAACAAACTAACCGGTTGCTGCATTCTTGCACTATCCCCAAAGGTGCCGGTTCGTGGTTTTGTGCGAATTTAGCCGCAAATTGATGAATGGTCGGCACAGATGTAGAAAAGTGACCGCCGAATGGCGGAAAATTCATATTGATTTATCGCACCTTAAAAAACCATACTGAAAGAGAAAAATACCGATGGTCGAATATAATTAACCTTCGCTTGCAATGGCATGAGGGTTTTCGTTAAGATCGGCGACAAATTTTGCAACCATTTGGGGGACGTAATTTGACAGCATCGCATTCACCCTTGCGCAAAGGGGTTGATGATTCGAGAGATCGAGTCAATTTAGCGTTTGAATTGAATTTTTTTTTTTTTTTTTTTAAGTTATCTCAGAATTTGAAATCGTGCGCCATGTATAAACAAATTCCTGAATTCGCGCTTTTATTAAATTTCACGGGAGGTGTTTTCCAAAAAATAAGTATTTGTTCCTGCATCCAAACCATAGAAAATGAAATTTGATAACAAAGCGAATAAGAAATGTTTGTAAATTGTATAATCTGTGCCCAGAGACTAGCTATTGGTGGGCTACATGAATGAGTTTTGTAGTTTTATTTTTTTTAATATAGTACAATTTTTCATTCAACAGGTGGTTCTGTGTGGTCTATTTGAACATATTTATTGAGGGTGTGCTTTTACTTTAAGAATTTCAAACTTATCGTTTTTCAGAAGTCCATTATGTCGAAAGCAGCTTTGAAAGATTTTGCCGTGCAATTATACAAAATTGACGCCATAAAATTTGGCAATTTTAAAACGAAAGTGGGGTTATTTACGCCGGTTTATTGTGACTTGAGAGTGATAGTAAGCTACCCCCAACTTATGGTGAGACCTATTTTTTTTTTTGTTGCGTAGGTCGATAGTTGCGGCCTTGTCCGTTGCTTTAGAGTGCTTTGGCGGACTTGTTGATACCCAACATAAATTCTGAAGAAATTGATATACTGTGTGGTGTCCCTTATACTGCTCTACCTATAGCAACTGCCATATCACTGAAGGCCTCGATTCCCATGGTAATGAGACGCAAGGAAGCTAAAGATTATGGCACAAAAAAACTCATCGAAGGGGTATTTAAACAGGGGGACAGATGTCTTATAGTTGAAGACGTAGTTACATCTGGAAGTAGCATATTAGAAACTGTTAAGGATCTTAATAGGGAGGGTAGAATTTTTTTGAAACTTTATCAGGATTTCACAATTGTACCGAACATTTTTAGGGATTAAATGTAGGGATGCGATAGTTTTGTTGAATAGAGAACAAGGTGGTGAAAAACATCTTGAAAGACATGGAATAAAAATGCATGCAATTTTAACCCTTACTGAGCTCATTAAGTATTTATTTGAAGAGAAATGTGTAGATCAGGAAATGGTGGACAAAGTAAAAAATTACATCACAGAAAATCAAGTGAATGAAGCGGTCTTAGAGAAACCTGTTATTATAAGTAAGTGGGCTTTAGAAACTTTCAATTGATGGGGCTAAGCTAACTAATTCATTGCACCCAATATTTAACTTTTCCGGTCATTTAACTTTTGTTATTCGGGCGACACTGTAAATATGTGGCTGCGATTGTAAATAATTCATTTACTGGTGGTGACGCAATTCATTGTGTTTTATCAAATCTTGCCCTATTTGCTTTGAAGACACACATCTAATCTGATCTAACAGTTTCATTTCAAAACCCATTACTTTCATGTTTTATTAGTTTAATAAAATTTCCAGGTCGGGTTAAAATGCCCTTTACAGAGAGATTGAAACTCGCCAAAAACTCAGTCGCATCCAAACTTTTCGACATAATGTCATCAAAACAGACCACTCTTTGCCTCGCAATAGATCTTACTAACTCTACAGCTATTCTCAATATGGCTGAAGAGGTCGGGCCTCACATCTGCGCCCTAAAGACCCACATTGATATAATGGAAGACTTTCATTCAAATTTCATACCCCCCTTAAAAGATATAGCAGAGAGACACAATTTTCTCCTGATCGAGGATCGAAAGTTCGCCGACATTGGAAAAACTGTCGAATTGCAGTATAGCAAAGGTCTATATCAAATCTCTTCATGGGCCAGTTTGGTGACGGCTCATTCGATAATGGGCAAAGGGGTTATAGACGGGCTTAAATTAGCCCCTGGTCTCACAGAACGCGGAGTATTTTTACTGGCGGAAGCCAGTTCCGCGGGTAATCTCATGGCTGAGTCATATTCAAAAGAAACGGTCAAATTGGCAACAGAACATTCCGATGTGGTCGCCGGGATTGTCTGTCAGAATCCTCTGTTTCTCGATCAGCCCGGTTTGTTGCAGTTGACGCCAGGTAACGTCACCATCCGGCTCAAAGGACCAAACGCTACCGCTTTCTTTGTAGGCGTTAAAATTGAAACGGCGGGCGATGGCCTCGGACAACAGTACAATTCGCCAGAACAAGTGGTGTTGGAAAGGGGAGCGGACGTTGTAGTTGTAGGCAGAGGAATTACCGAAGCGAAAGAACCGGCAACCGCAGCAGAATTGTACAAAAAAATCCTGTGGAAAGCGTATAGTCGCCGCGTCGCGAAATGAACTAGTTTATGTATTCTGTGATATAGTAATACATTTTTTATTTAATTTTTATAATTTGACATATCTTTATTATCCCACATATTTTTTGTATTAAGGATTTCGTCAAGTAGGTCAAAATTATGTGCACAATATTGATCCTGAAAAAGAGGCACAAAAACTACATTTTTAAAATTTATTACAATACAGTGATAACAAACACTAATCAGTAAGATATTACTTTAAAATATAAAAACAGTGTTGTAGGCGAAAAAAATTTACACCGTGCTCAAAATTATATTTTGAGAATTTTAGTCAATTTTTTTTATAGAGAAACAATCTTTGTTACGTGCATTAAAGTCGTGAAAATCTCCGTTTTTTGGTAAGTTATTTTTGTTTTTAAACAAACTTCTAATATGTATATACACGCTAAAGGCAGTATTTTAAACTACCTGAAGAGGGGTCTGCACGAATTATTCTTCGATACTCCAGCGATACACCTTAGGACTTTCTTTTAGGATTTGAAAGTGAATATCGACTTGAATTTCTCCAAAATACTATAGAATAATCTCAAATGTATGTGAGCATAGCAGAAATTTCTCATGCATTTCCCATTCAACAGTTATTAATTTTTTTATTAGCAAACAATAACTGTGCAGTTTTGAAGAAAGTAATTGGCATTGAGTTTCCCAAGACCGTCTTCGTTGAGTTCTAGTCCTAAACATTTAGCGAACTTTTTTATTTCAACGACCTTCTTGACCGAGTGGACATTCACAGAAAGGTTTTTATTTGTTTTGATTGTCAATACACTTGTTTTTAGTGGTACAAGTGCTGAATTAATTTTGTCTTCAAGAGTTTGATAACCGTATGAAGAAATTAAACTTGAACAGTCGTCAGCGAACTGTGATAAACCCAAAATAGGGAGGTGCGCAGAAAGTTTATTGATAAAAGGATAAATAAAACAGGAACAAGCACTGTACCTCGCGGTACGCCTCTATCAACCCATTGGACTTGAGATTTTTTAATTATTTAAGTTGCTCTTTTCCTGCTTTATTTTAATATACTGCCTACGATTTGTTAAGAACGATCTAAACCTCTTCAGAGGTATTGCACGAATTCCGTACTGTTTCATCCTATTCGAAAGCATTTCGTGGTTCTGCAGGTTGCTCCCCAGACTCAATATAGTTGATAGCGTGCTCCAAAAATGAATGAATCGCTGTTTGGTTGATCAAAGGACTCGGGATGTAGTGGGTACACTTTTTGAATATTACAAAAGGCACATCAGGACCATAAGAACGTTTGGTTTTGATTTTATCTTTTAAGTTCCATATTTCCTCTTAAGAGAATGGTCAAATGTACGTGTGCGTTTTTCTTAATTTTTATCAACTATTTTATTAAGAGCTTCTATAAAAAAGTTGTTCATAAAATTGCCTAATGCTACCGGATCCTTAATAATATGAGATTGTACAAAATTCTTTGGCCGTTTATTCCTCCCACTTATCTCAGACACCATAGACCAAGCAGTTTTATTTTGATTGTTTGACTCCATTTTTGGCTCATTGTAACTTTTTTTTGATAAATTTATTAATTTTTTATGTTTACTTTTTTTATAATTATACATTTCTAGGGAAATACAGCTTTTTTTACGCAAAATATTTAATATGTTCATCAGTTACCCGAGTTTTTTATTAAGACTAACGAATTTAATTCGTTGACTTCTCGTAGTAAGCGTTAAATCTGTGCTCAGCGGATCTTTTAGTAACAGCCTTGTGTTCTCCAACAGAACCGGGATTTTCATAGCACCAGTAGTGATCGTTATTAAATCCGGATAGCTTTGGTTTCTAATTTAATTGATCTTTAAACAATTTTAACGTTGAGAATCTTGATGCTGTCTAGCGTAATATGCAGCAAAAAATCCATAACCCACCTTTTGAAACTTCAATTAATTAAAATCAGTCGAAATAAATCCATTATCTTTTATTTACGGTTCGCATCGATTACATTATTTTGTAAGGATATAATTTCTGGAAGGCGGTCGAACCCTGCGGGACTTCTTCATCGCTCTCGGTCTCCCCGTCCGACTCGAACGTGTTGTCTGGAATATCGTAAAGTCGAATCATGGGCTTGTTAGGGTCCTTCATTATGAGATATTTGCCGTCCTTCTGTTTCATAACGATATCGATGATGCACCTTAATATACCCCAAGCGTTGTCCATATTTAAGTTAATCTGGGTGGCGAATTCGTGGGGTTTGTACTGCTGCGTGCCCAGAATCACGTGCTTGCTGTTATCGCGCACGTGCACCCTGCTGACGTAGCCGAATTTGATTTGATCACTGCCGGCCAACAGGGCTTGCACTGTCCACTTGGCCAGTTTGCACGCGTTATTGCGTAGCTCGTTGGCCAAAACGGCACCCCTTTGGGTGTCCAACTTCTGACGCCATTCGACCCCGTTGGCCAATTTCGAATCCCACTCGTTGAGGGCCTTGATGGTCAAGAATTGAAGCTCCCCATTGGGAGATTGGACCACCGCGTCGTGCTCGCAACGAGCCACCAAAACAATCCCTCCTCCCAAATCCCACTTCCTGTAGCGATACGCGACGCTCGCTACCTCTCCTTCCTCCTCCTCAGAAGCAAATGGATTCGGCTCGTCGAACTTGTAACGGGGCTCATTCGGTCCCGTCTTTAATACCTACAGACGCTTTGCCCATTAAAACACTACGCAATGTAAATTATACAGACTTATGATATCAGAGATTAATAGTTCAAATTTACGAAATTTCCAATATAAGTCAGTAGTTCCAATGTACTTTCTACTAAATACCTTTCCTGTAGTTCAAAATATACTCCCCTCTAAATAACTTCTAGTTCAGATAGATCAGTATTTCAAATATATTTCCTCAAAAATACATTTAAGTAGTTTAAATACACTTTCCCCAAAAACAGCATTGAAATTTTTTAATTTTAGTGATACCTTTGTATAAATATTTGTATCTGTCAAATGTTTCTACTGGTAGTTCAAATGCACTTTGACTGCCAATTTTATTTTAATGTTTCCCTTTCATTCCCATGATTTAAATAATGAAAATTTTTAACTCAACTAAATGTCAACATTTTAAAGAATCACCTGTTGGCTAAAGTTGTGATTGATAAAGGTGGCTTCAAGTGCCAGATTCCTGGGTGAATTCAAAGAGTTGCCGTCATCTTGAGGCGGCTCCACCGAAGTCTCGTTTACAGTCAGCAAATCGAACTCTGTGTTGTCTCTTTTATCAAAGAATAGCTTGTCGCCTAAAAAATAAACATTAACGCATTTCTAGGCAAAACATTCAGTCATTAGGCACCAATTTTTTCAATAACAATATCCCATGAATAATTGGATCGAGTGCAGCACATAATCGTAGCCAAAATGGCGTCGGTTGCATACACATTGCCATCATTCTTTGAGAGTTTACGGATGACGGGATCATCGGTAGTAGTTACAGTATGGAAGATACGATTCACGCTCTGCAATGGCTTCTCATTTTTGACATTCACCCTGTCATAACTCTTATCATAATACTCAAGTTCACCACAGCAGACAATATCTTCTCCATCCCTAACACTGGGCAAAGACAGCTTCCCAAGTCTCGGAAAGTCCATTTCTTCAATCGTGCTCCAATCAGGTTTGACCGTGACGGAGGCGTCTCTGATTTTAATTTGAGGCTTAAAATTTTTTATATGTGAACATTTGCAAATCACACAACCACTTAAACATAATTACCCTTCCTTGGCCCCACTTTTTGATTTGAGTACGCTTGTAAGTGTCTCTGGCCTTAAACCCTTTACCCAAAGCTTGCATTCCACCACTAAGGAAATTACCCCTGCCTCCGCGGCCCCTCATGTTGCGCTGATTCGTTCGGAAACGACCCCGCTGATAAGGTGGTTTTTGGACACGAGTGGTATCCACCAGATGGAATGTGCTCTCGTCTTCGTCATGATAATAGGCGTACTGACTGCCGGAACCGAATTGGGACACATATTTGTCTACAAGTTCATATCATTTTAGATTATGAGATTGCAACTTAACGTGTGGTAGCATATACTGGCATATTTTTTATCTTGGAAAGCGGCTCCGGTCCAATCGCTTATCTTGCCTAGGCGGTCGCCTTTGCTAAACGGTTGATAAGGCATATCCCGGAACTGTTCCGGCAGTTCGCAGGGACCCCATCCTGTAGGGTTGTCCTGAATTACCGGCGCCGTAAAATGGGGAGGCGCCTCTGTACCGGAGTTACTTTCCGTCATAGTCATCTAGTCGAAAGACGCACTTATTTTTTCCAATATATAATTGTAAAAAAACAAAACTGCCACAAAAACCACAAGGTGAAATTGACACAAATGAACGGCAAATCACTGACAGAGAAATGCAGCTCAGAAAATTGTTTAGAAGACTGTACGTTGTTGAAAATCTTTTTTTCTTTATACAAACTGAACACGGGCACTCGCCCATAATCGGATTCGTCCAAGAACTTAGAATGAATTACTTAGCCACCAATCAGGCAAGAATTGGGAACCACTGCACATGACCGACGTTGCCCCTGCCCATTGCCATAAAATGTAGAAATCTCTTGAAATTAGCGTCGTTTGATTTAAAACAGTGTTTTGTATATTTGCTATCTGAAGTGGTAGAGGCACGGCGCCTATAAATTAGGGAAATAGAGTTCGTCTTAAGCGAATGTATGTGGATTTGTGTAGTATTCTGTGGTCGATTGTAACTGCCTGTTGACTGGGAGTGGAAGACGAGACGGAATGGAGAATAAAATTGCACATGTTTGATAAGGGTTGTATTTGATAAAAGACCCGTTGATAACAAAACAAATACGACGTTAACAAGAACATTACATGTTATTCCATTATGTATATGTTAATAAGGGTTCCGGATGTTTTATATTCGCGCTGGAACCAGGCCAGATGGCATCGGATATCCCGTATGAGGTAGTTGCAGGAGGCGTTAGAAGAATCGGTTAACATTTTATGACTTATTTAGAAGTTGTTCCACTAAGTGAATATGTTAAAAAATCCGGAGGATGATGGATTAGTCCAGACCCTTTCATTACGAAGGCATCCTTTAGGAATTTTTGTCTATAGTTACCTGTTGTTGTAAGTTGGGGGAATGAAGTTATGTGTTCGTGGCCATTAGAAGTAAATTAACTAATTAACCACAATCCATAACGACCCCCTAACAAAAATAAAACACACAAAATAAATTAATAAATAAAATATATTGTTTTTTGGCCAAGAATATAAATTATATAAACCGTTTGCGCGGAAATAGACGCTGAAAAGGAAAACATTACAGCATACTGTCAGTAACTTCACCGGGGTTCTCTAACGCGGCTTTGCGTTCGTTTATAGCGTTTACGAGTTTCCTATACGGTCCTAAAGGCAAGTTGAGGCTTTTGAGGTCGTTTTCAGTTAATATAAGCAATGTATCCAGATCAATCTTCTGTTCCTCGAATCGGGTCAAGTACTCTCCCAATCCGAACGCGGTTAAGAACCTTTCCAGGGGCGCGTTAGGATTATCCTCCTCGCTAGTTTCCGAATCTGGGCACGAGAAAACCACACCATTGTAGAAAATTAAGAAAAAAAAAACAATAAATTACCAGATAATTCGTCGTCGGTAATTACCCTGCTATGGCCGTAGCTCTCTCCCGACCCTATGGAACTTTCCTCCTGGCGATTGACACCCTGATAGAAACTGCCGAACGTATTCAGACTCTTTCTGAAAATTAAACAAGGTTAGCGTAAAAAAAAAATAGTCTTACGTACACATTTGGCTCGCCTAATAACAATACTGCCCATACCAGGGCGTATAAAGATGCTAGAAGGTTCTTGAGCGGGCTTGTCCCCGTTCCGTTCCAGCTCGGCCAGGAAATCGGGCTGAGACATGCTCCTGATCATTCCGTTACTCGGGGGCGGAGTTCCGCCTGGACCGTCCACGTCTTCCGCCTCGTTGAAAATGCCATCGAGACGGCCCCTTCTGTGCGGTTCGAAGGCGGTACGTTGCAAAGTGCCCCCGTACATCACCTCCGAATCCCGCCTGATGCCTGTCAGTTTACTCACCGAACTCTTGCCGTCTTGGATCGTACTGATCTGCGGATAAGCCGTAAAAAAAACAAAATACAGGTTTTAGTTTACTTAAGAAAATGTTTGAGGAATAAGTCAGAATTTTTGAGAAACTAAATTAAAACCTATATTTTATTTTTGGTGACCTTTCCCCCCCTAGAAGGCTGGTAGAGAGAAATACATAGTTATGTATCCACACTATTGCCAAATAGAGAAAAAATTCCAGGTAACGGAAAATTAAATACAGATACAATAATAATTGCAAATATTTTCTATGTAGAACATTTTCAGTTAGTTTTTTTAATGCGCAACTTCTCTCTGAAAATAGCATACATGCCCAATTACATCACATATCTTAACCTCAGAGTTTCTTTCCTACGCATGGATGTTTTTCTTTTTTCGACAGTGAATCCGAATCCACCAGCCTTCTAGTAGTAATAATTCTACGTCATATCACTCGTCTGTTATTTTTATTCCATAGGTCAAATGGTGTAGCAAATACACCACCATATGGAGAAAAACAAATGTATTGTAGCTTGCATTACAACCGCCATGCGCCACTATAGCGTTATATTTAATTTCTATTGATGGAACAGTTTCAGAATTATCGCTTTGCATTTTGGTCTTTTTTAAAAAATCATTTGATTCCCAGTTGTAAAAATGTTAGCGAACTGGCTAAAATGTCTAAATTTGTAAGTGTATTTCTATGTTTAATACATATTTTTGTAATATTAGTACTGTAAAGTATGTTTGTTAGGAGAAAGATTTTTGAGTTGAAAATGAAAAAAAGACCTGTAGGTCAAATTTTATTGTGACTTTTGTGAGCGTTTTAAAAGTGTAAGTGTTCTGGAATTCTCCTGCACCGGATGTCTCGCTGAATTGAACTGCAAACGTCAGCGAGGCAGTCAACACCCAAAGCGGATGGAATCCAGAAGATGTCAAAGTCGAATGAAACGCCATTGATTCTATCTTTATGGGGGCAAATATTGATATGAATTAAGTGATTTTAGTATTTTGGAGAAGTTTTGAAAGTATAAGTGTTGTCGGTCCCGCTGTTTTGACCATTCACGCCGGTTGGAGGCCGGGTGGTATGTGATGAAAGCGTAAGAAATCCGGTTTTTGTTATGATTGATGCAAAGTACATATAGAAGATGTCAAAGTCGAATGACATTCCATCGATTCTGTCGTTATCAGGATATATGTTGATCTGAATTAAATGCTTTCAGTATTTTGCGAGTTTAGTGGACGTTTTGAAGTATAAGTGTTGCCGGCCCCGCTATGTTAGCCATTCACGCCGGTTGGAGGCCGGATGGACTCGGATGGTCCGTGATGAAATGGTGGGAATACTGGTTCTAAATTATAATCGATGCAAAATACATATGCCATTGATTCTGTCCGTACCAGGGAGAATATTTTAAGTGCTTTTAGCATTTTGCGAGTTTTGTGAACTTTTGAAAGTAGAAGTGTTATCGGCCCAGCTGTTTTGGCCACTCACGCCGGTTGGAGGCCGGTGGAAGGCGTGGGAACGCCCTTTTTTATTCCGATCGATCTAACGTCTAAATTTTGACATTTTCGAAATAGATGTTGGTTAGTTACGCATAATTGAATTGAATTGAACGACGCGTAAGATGTACCTTAAAATCGTCGTCCGCCATTTGACCGAGTCTGCTGTTTTTGTTCGCTAAAATCTTTCGCTGGACGGTGCCCATTGGCCTGGTGCCTTTCACCGTTCCGCCCATCACGATGTCGCTAAAAGTGTTGCGTCTTTCGGGCGGCACGTTCGACAAATTCGACATGGAACCGCTCTTGATACGCTGCTTTATCGTATTTATCATCGAAGGTTTGTATTCTTTCGTTTTGCGCCGTTCGAGTTTTTCGTGCAGTTGCTCGGTTTTCGCCTTTCTCTTGTTATATTCCTGCGGAAAAAGTGTGGTTGGACGCGTTCGCATAAAACCGTAAAAACCGAGTTTTTTGCCCCCTCCTCGCACGGACCTTTATCCGCTTTTTCGCGCTTTCCTTCGCCTTTTCTTTCATCGTTTTCGCTTTGCGCTTGTCGCTCGCCTCGAGCTTGGCGGAGACGCCGTCCAGGAACCTCAAAATGTCCTCTCTGTTGTTAATACCGGCCAATTCCTGCGCGGTCCGACCGTCTATATCTGTGCAGTAAATATTCGCGCCGAAATTGACGAGGAACGTAACCACGCGCACGTGACCCTGCGCAGCGGCCAGGTGCAGAGCTGTGTTACCGAAATAGTCGGCCTTGTCGGGGTCCCCGCTGCAACACATGTACGTGAACCCATGTCGAATATTTGTTGTTAAATGGGAGGCTTACCCTCGTCCGCACAAGAGCCTCAAAGCTTCCAGATTGCCGTAGAAAGCGGCGTAGAGGGTCGGGGTCATTCCCTGTTCGTCTCTACCGTTACAGTCTCGGTTTGTTGCCTCCTTGAGGACTTCCAGCAGACCATCCTTCGCCGCTCTGGAAAAAATCGTTAATGCAGTGTTACCGTGATCACAGTCCTGGTTACCGATGGCGATAAAAACAGAATAACCCAAGTTTATGTGATTGACCATTCAATAGGGGCCGAAAATACCTTGACATTGATGCACCTCAAACATACTATGGCATTTTCGTGCCCGAGAGAAGGATCTCTCGAAGCGAAACCATTAAACACCGATATGTCTTTTGGTCAAAACCAAAAGTAACCAAAACTATACTCTCCTTTCTTTCCACCAATTTCTTTCTAAACGTCTGTTTACTGTGGAAAAATGCCACACTAAAACTGAAAACTATTGAACTGACGTAATGTCAACGACCATGTTGACTCCGGTCGTGCGCATATTTTTCGATATTGTTTGAAAGGTGCAGTGAATATTCGGTGATGCACTGATCGTCGATAAACCTATCATCCAACGTATACTATAATCGTATCAGATAACGCGAAAGAACTTTTTGTTTTAATCACGCGCATGATATCAAATCTCGGAAGCAAATGACTGATTTGTTTAAATCGCGGTCCCGTATCAATTGTTTCATATATGATACAATCGAGATGGCTGATTAGAGTCGCTAAAACCCAAGGGGAATCGATGAAAAACAATCGCGTTTCCAATATATATAGATAATAATATATAGAGGATACGTATGAAAAGCACGCTCGGGTAAACCATATCAAAGGGCACACAGAACGGATATATGCGTTCACGCATCACCAACTCGGTGCTATAAACACCGCGTTGATAACTTACAAATCTACTCACTTGTGATACCTGTCTGTAGACATTTTCCCCACACTTTCCCTCGGAACTGTAAAACTTTAACGAAACGTCCGCGAGCCCATCTGACCCGACACGAGGCAGTGTAATCGCGAACTAGCGCGAATTCCTCGATCAAATCGAGATAAACCGCGTATATCTCTGTAACCGGATGATGCAGGCCAACCGTTCACCTGTCTGTCGCGTAAACAAGCGAACGGTAAGTGGGTTCACTGGCTCAGTAATTGTTCTGAAACGTCGACATCTGTGGTCCGCGCCGAAAGCGCTGAGATATCGAGAGCCATCTATCCGTCGTGAAACGAACCATATGGAAAAGCTTGCGATAATAAGGTAGAGATGGTGACGCGAGCTTCAAACAGCAAAGAACTCACGGAAATAACGAAGATCGAAAACTATGCAGTGTTATTGACTATTGGATAAACGTGTGGGTAATTTAGTCGACGCTGATTTTGGTACCAAAACGCCCTTACCATATGGATGGTAAAATATTAGTGTCTCCCTAGAAAACTCCCATAACTAACTGGTTGCTTGATTTTTTTAGTGATACCCAGCGAATAAGTGAATAATGATTCTCATGGTTTGACTAACGAAACACAAATATAAATTTTTACAGTATATTTTTCTATTTCTTCAATAGAAATAGAAACCTATTGCTCAAAAAATTCCACATCCGAAACAAAAACTGTCGTCGACGGACTGTCAGCAACCATGTTGATTGCCGCAAGGTCTTACTTTCTGAAATGGCGTTTTGTAAATAACTAGGGCCCACATTGAATTGAATTGGCTTCAAAAGTGCCTTCTTATCATCGTAGGCACGGCTTTCAAACATGGTGTCCAGGAAAATTCGGAATCCGGAATAAACACAAAAAAAAATGAGTAACAAAAAATAAACGAATTAATGTTTCATTTCCAGCGGCATCTTTAAAGGTTCATATCTCCATAGGAAGAGTCGCGTAGGAAACAAATTATAGTAAATTATTTTCAGATATAAAGTTTATTGTAGATCTCAATATTCATCTTCGCCATATTAGTTCACAGACCTCACATTAGTGATAAGAACATAAATTAAATAAACGATAACATATTTAAAAGTTTCGTTCCTGATGGTATTTTATTACTTACTTTTTTCGAGTTTGATTTTTTAGAATTTTTATATACTTTTGGAATCGATATATTATTTATTATTACTCATCTTGTTGTTCTTCTTCCATTGAGAGTATAAATAAACTTTGTTTTTAACTATGACGGTGTTTTTTTAAATTGGAGGTACTCAGAGCTGTGACGCGCCCACAGAATAATTTTTGGTTGGTCAAAGTCTTCGCTAGTTGGCGCGAGTTGGGACATAAAAAAAAGTTGACACTCGCATCCGATTTAGGTGCCCGTCCGACCGATCGTTAAAAGCGTTCGATCCGCGTACGACCCGACCGGTGCCGAAGACAGCCGACGGTCGCAACTTTAACTGACGTTTAAAATATAGCGTCGGGCCACGCCTCCGAGCGGTTTCTCGCCGCTTCGGTGCCGCCCTCCCCGCGCTCCAGGCGAAAAGAAGAACAAGAAAGGTCTCAAACTAATTAAAATTAAATAACTCGTGGGTCAGTTTTCGTCGAAACAATTACCTTTATTAGTTTTTAATTAAAAACGTTGTTTTGTTGGGAAATAACGGACGGCGTTGTTGTTAGACTGCGAGAACGGAATGTTTCGCAAACGCGGCTGAGATTTCAAAATGTCCGATTCCGGGGGAAATTGAATCGAACGTCTTGATCGTTAAACGACGCGACTGTTGTTACTGAGCAAAGATGGCAAGAAGGGCAATTTTGGACTTGTTTTACGACAAAACAAAGTTTGATAATTATGTGAATTAATGAACCATTTTATGTGGGATATATTTTATAAATACATGTGTTAAGGAAACTTTTCATTAGAAAGTATTTTATATAAAAGTTATTATTTTAGAATGCATTAAATTAATTTATAGTATATTTAATCAGAAATTAAATAATAGTAGCCAATACTAAAGATGTGTGAATGAATAGGTCCTTGTCTTATGTTTCCGATCTGTATTTTTAAAGTTTCATAAAATTCTCAAAAATTAAAAATTACATAGAAATGCAAATTTTTGGTAAAAGGATGCAAGCTTAAAATGTATCAACATAGATAATTACGAATGGTGAACCAACAGACTCGGTGGTTTTTCTGCGATAAAATATTATTACGTGTTCTGTCATCTGAAGTTTTCGAAATTATACCTAAACCTTACCCAACTTATACCTACACTGTGAGCTCCATTTATCAAATTGCAATGGCTCCAGTAATGCACCCCATATGGATTTTATTTCATTACATTTTATTAAGGATGAAACGGTAAAGTAGTAACAGATAACTGTAATATAAGAAAGTGTTTGTATTAATTGGTAATTTTTCTACCTAATTGGGTTTTGTGAGAGTAAATATTTGTGATTAACTAAATTAAATTACTTATGACAGTTACAGTATATAGAATACCTACTAATAATTTCATGCTGGTCATAATTACCTAATCAACATTTAAAAAAAAACGAGATATTCTTGTTGGAAAAGTTATAATAATAATTCATAGTGTTAATGTATCAACAAAAATTTATATAAGTAAAACAATATTAACCAAGAATATCAATTTTTACGCGCCTTTTTCGAGTTTTTTGAGTAAATAATTTCAGTAATAACACATGGGTAATACCAAGAAGAAGATAAGTGTTCCCGTTACTATCCGCCTGTTTCTAAGTATTCTAAAATTTTGATGCGCCTTTTCAGTTTGGACCGCATTCCACTAGTCACACATGAATTTATTCCATCAATTAATCGTAAAACCATTGCATTGTTGGTAACTGTCAAACCCTCAAATGGGACATCCAAGTGCAAAGAATACTGACGCATTTGATGTTTGTAATCGCAAAAAGTGCCAGGCTCTCCATTGATTATAATGGTGGCAATAGAACAAGATTTCACTAATAGACATCCCCCCATATGTTTTATCAAATGGGAGAACTTTTTTTCAACAGAGCGACCCGTGTATACAGTCGCGCAGCGATTTTAATCGAAATTGTACGTAAACGTTAAATCCCCTATCGGGATCGGACGTTAATTCGATCGGGGAGGCCATTTAAGCCTTTCGCAATTAACATCGGGTCAGTTTGCGAGCCCAGGGCCATAGATAACGCGGGCGGAATTGGCGGGAGACCTCTCGCAGGACAGACGCTTGCAATTTAATGCAATCTGTGTCGTATGAATATCGCTCGGACGCTCTATAAATTCTTATTGTTTATTGCACGCAGCACAACGGCCGTATATGCGGTAGAATACCGCGGGACAATGACGTCAGCAACGCGGGCCTTCCCATATAGTCACAGAATATACAGCAGCACCGTTCAAAGCCGTTAGGTGACATCTAAAGTTAGGCTAGGTTACGACCATAGTATAATTGAGTTTTGTTGTGACTAGGCTTCTAAAGTTTCAAGCTGACCAACCGTACATTATTGGCCGGTACAAGTTCAGGTTTTTCCGAGCAAGTCCTGGAAAATCTACTCGTCTTGGATTGTCCCGGATTTTTCAACATAGTTATATTATATCTCCCAAAAGACGAGGAAATATCAGCAGTAGAATGTCTAAAAATGTATAGAGAAATCAAGTGCAAAATAAAAGTTACAAAAGAGGAGTGCTTCATTCGTCTCATTTTTAAAAATATTCTCCTGGCAGATGAAATAAGTACAAATCGTAATTCCATAGAAACAACTATAGCTGAATTTTACTTAACAGTCACACCTCTCACAATGGGAAACTACATCGTCTCAAATGTTGGATACATTTAAATGGGTAATGGGACACCAAGTAGATTTAAATTTTATGCTTTCAGATATTTTTTCGATAAGTAAAGTTAAAAAAAAGCACAGTCTTAACAAACGTCAAGAAGAAGTAAAATTTTTTTTTCTGTTATTGCGCTATCGCTGTCGCCACAAAAAAAAAAGAGTTATTGTTTCTCAATCCGTTGGGTTAAATAGATCAGGGTATCTGTGTATATATATATATATATATATATATATATATATATATATATATATATATATATATATATATATATATATATATATATATATATATATATATATATATATATATATATATATATATATATATTCATTTTGTATAAGAAAACAGTTATTTGTGGAAACTATGGATATATAGAAATAAAGACATATTATTATTATTATTACTTCAAAACATACCACAATAATCAACCCTCAATAAAAACTATTTTATTGTATAATGAAACATTAATAAATGAAGATGAACTATTTGACGAAATATCTTTAATAAAGGAATCTGTAACCAATGAAAAGTCGGAATATTGGCATCTATGTTTGTGTCCGATGGCTTAAAGTTTTTGATAATAGTACAAAAAAGTAACTGGGGTTTAAAAACGTGTCTTTGATAGTTCAGTTTGCACTCTTTCTGTCAAGTATTCATGCAGGGGAACAACTTTTGGAGTAGCAATAAAGTCAACTTTT